GGATTTGCTTAAGAGATACATTCCATGAATGGTGTTATAAGTACTTATAACTGGTATTTTGGGCCATAACTGTAGTCTGCGGTTTGAACAACAAACAAAAATATAAGATACAATGTCTAAGAAGCCGTTGATTTCCTACTGGAAACATTGAGCTAGCAGCATCAGCAAAACCGCAAGAATTTCGCCACCATGACTTCCTACGAAGGAGGAACTGGATCCTGGCAGAGAAAATGACGCCTCTACAGTTATGACCCGAAATACCAGTATAACAAGTTTTAACTAATAAATGGCCTTAACTGAAAAATTCGTATGTCACCGGTGTATCACTCTTGGAAACACCACATAATCAACTATAATTCAAACAATTTTGATTTTGGATTAACAATATGGCACATCAGCACATCATCACCCATTCAGTTCCTCCAACGGCACCCCCGCGCCGCACGCGCCACGCGTGGCCGCGCCTCCGTCGATAAGGACCCCGTCTGCATGGCCGTTGAAGGCACCTGCAGGTCTTCATGCCGAAAGTTGTGATTTAAGCAACAAACAACGGTGAAACAAGGGCTATGTTAACCACACAAATGGTGATTTCACAAGGGTTCAGCCACACAAATGTTAATTCAAGGGGGGGTTCAACCAACATCAATGATGATTTAAACTGACAAACATGGTGGTTTCAGACAATATAAGCAGTAGCAGATATTAAAACATTAAAATACCAAAGTCCGAAATATCCAAAATGGCATGGACCGTTACTTAGATAATGCAGGCTAGGCATGGCTAAGCCATGGATTTATGATGGATACATTGGACAAGTTCATTGGATGAGCTGAATCGATTTACAAAGTCAAAACGAACTTGGGGCCACAGATGGGGGGGTTTTCCATATCGTGTTGCTAGTTTACTGGAGGGCATCCCGTGAACATGGGCACGGGCACATGACGAACCATCGTAAGGATCGCAATCATCAGGTTTCCCCAGCAGCAATGGTAACCCATACAGGCCCAAGATAGTAAGTAAGTTGGTTAACAACTATCTATAGTTGCAATGTGGGCCCCGAAACGATAGCTACATTGGTAAACATTACTTGGTGAGCCCTATGGTTCATGGTCCTTTACCAGTTATAAGTACTTATACCACAATTTATAGAATGTATAATCCAATTTTGTTATAATAACTAATAAATGGCCATAAGTGCATGGTTCATGGTAGATATATTATATGTCTATAATTCATTATTCATGGGCTTTAAAAACCAACAGCAAACGTAACGCGAATCGGAGCCGCACCTTGTAATGGGGGACATCAGCAAGTTGGAGCGAAACCCTTGGCATTCCCTTGACGGCGAGAGATTTATTTTATTACATACTACCTTACGCTCAGATTGGCCCAACAAGAACCCATAATTAGTGTTGGCTAACAGCACATAATTGATAATTTATACCACTCACTACTATACTCATGTAATAGTCCATATATTCAGGATAAATGATAGTAATTCACTAACCTGAAATAAGGTGATTTGGGGACGAGTCCTTATACTTATACTAACAATCTTATACTAACCAACCTTCATTATAATTTACCCGATAAATCCATTATGTCTCCCCATTATTGTTGGTTAATATCCCTGTGCAAATTGATTCAATCCGCATATTGGCACGATCCCCAAGTTTTCATTCTTTGAACTCCGCGTTGCCAAATTCGTAGACATGGTCGGCTAAAAAAGAAATCATCAACCTCAACTCAAGGCATTCTGGGTTTCATATACTAACCACTGGTTCTTGTTGGTTAATATCGCATGTTGATTTGTATTTCCACGATACTCCATATGGGGGGTTCTTGAAATGGGTGCAGCTCCGAACCATCCGTTTTAAAAAGATTTTCCACTATAAACCCATTTTGGGGCAACCCCATCTATAGACATCTCCATATCTGCAGCAACCACCTGAGGTAAGCAGCTGGCCTCCATCTTGTCGCCACAGGTGCCACGCGCCAGGAAAAAACGCGCGCGGCCAGAAATGGATTGCTGCTGCAATGGGAAATGCACAAACAAAACATGACTTTTTTTTTTCGGAAAATCATGGAAAAATTGGTGGTTTCAGTCTGACAGAAATCCAATGCTTGGATTTGATTCTTGTGATTCCTGTCAACCGTCATTTGGCGCCAGTGAAAGCGTTCTCACCCAAACAGTAGTGGTTCCCTCACGTTGCTTCATTCTAAATCTGGTCACCACATGAGTCCTATATGCTGTTTGCTACTTCTCTGCGAAGTACAACATTCACAGTGATCTTCATTGCCAAAATTGCCAAATATCAATTGAGTTATCAGTAAGTTGTCCAACTAACATGATGCCATGGTTTGCCTCTGCAATCCCCTTTAAAGGCGGGTCGGGTTAAGACACCCAGCCAATATCTAAGCTACGTGACATGCCCTGGGGACCCTGGTCAACATGCCCTTCGAGTCCCTTGAGCCCTTCAAACGGCTGCTTCCGAGCCCCCAGTGCCGCCTGAGAACGAGCAGAATCAAAGCTCTGTGGCTTGGGAAATCTCAAATTTTGACCTATCGGAAGATCTGTGAAGTGATATCACTCTTCCAAGTAGTGCATCAAGTCAAGTGGTTGATAGACAGTCTATATGATGTTTTCATCCATATTAGTACCCACTGTAGTTCTCCGCTATTTTTTGCACTCTGAAAAATAGTCCAGACCAGTTTTCATGGCAAATGTTTTTTCCTAAACTATATAGATGGTTAGCTGGCTACTTTGAGGATCATCCCAGTTAGTAACTGGTTAAACCCTGGTTTGTAAGCTGGAACATCCAATGTATAACTGGGCTAACAACATCAGTAATCTTCAATTTGCTTCATCCCAAAAAACTGAACAATCATCCTGCGAGATTCCCCGGCGCTTCAACCAGTGGAAACAACACATCTCGTCTTCAGCAAATCCAGGTCAGTGGGGTCCACCAAGAGGTTGACCCATGGGCTTGCGAATAGGCTACCTCCAAATCCAATCATTTCACTATGAAAAGGCCCCAATTTGTGGGGTATCCCGGTATCCCCAATTTTCCGGATACCAAAACCATTTCTATTCTTCCCTAAATTTGAATCCACACACCCATGTTGTTTTCTTGTAAGTCACCTGTGTACCCGCCGGTAATCAAACGTGGTAATTGGATATGCCTGCTGAGGGGGATTTTCCATTGGCATGTTTGATTAGCAGAGAAAACTTCCCGAATAGAAAAAAACGTTTCCAGGATGAAGGTCCGATGATATCTTACGCTGCATATGTTCCAGGTTTCCAAGGTATTTTCGGTACCTTTTTGGGGACCGCGGTAGTAACATCACCTGTATAATGTTGAGTCCATCAAGGACGTTTCCTACAGTTATGGCCCTTTACTTATGAATGTATAACCCAATTTACAAGCAGCTATCATAACCATTTATAGTTGCTAAACGGCCAAAACTCTATGCAAGCCTTCTTTCCCTTTTTTGCTGCTGCGATCCGCGATCCGCTTGAACTGGTTTCCTGTCGCAGCTCCAAGTCTTTCAGTTACACCACACCAGAAATATGAAGTGAACTTTGGATGGTTTGTTACACGTTGTGTAGAAATGAATTTTATATAATTTTATCACAAAAATATATTAGAAATGAGGTGTATATATATATATAATGATTGAAACCATATACTCGTTAAAATTGGGATGAACTGGTACATAACAGAGCTAATCTTACATGTCCCGCAAAAAAAAAGGTTGGGTAACATGTATTCCAATGAAACCAACAAGAATAAACTATTAACAACAAGAGTGAAGGTTCCTCGTGAAATTTGGTCATGTTCATACTTGGTGGCCCACCCCACTTAGTAAGTGGGTCATATCCCAGTTATAAGTGGATAAGTAGGGTTAATCCACTAAAAGAACTGGGATATATCCCCCACCTACTAAGGTCCTTACTGACCGAGATGAACCACCAAGTAGTACTCAACCATTCAATCCAAAAAATCAGTGGTCAGGTTCCTCTTGGGACTCTTGAGTCACAGCGGTTAGAAGTATGGGATGATATCAACATCGGTTGATAGCTTTGGTGTTTTCTCAACATGTTGTGATACCCAAATCCAATATATATATATAATTATTATATATATATATATATTAGATATTATATAATAAAACAATATGTATATATATATACATACATAAAACACATGTATATATATATATATATATATATTTGCAGATACATATTATATACATATTTATATATATATATATATATATATTTACATACCTATATACATTTTCAGCATGCACAGTTTGATCCCAAACCCTGCAATTGTGTACCAAATGGGATTACCATCCAATCACAGCCGCTGGGTCCTCACTTTTAACCCAAGGCCCACTATTCATGCATTGTATTCCGACATATTGTAGCACAAATATGTTTCGGATTCCTTTCACCTCAAACAACCCCATATATGCCCTGGAAATTCAATATAGCCATGGAACATGGCCACTTGCAGATGATTGACAAGGTTGACATATTGGACATGGTAATTTTCCAGAGGAAATTGTATGCTTTGTTTTCCAAGACAATGTGTCATCCAGAAACTTATTTCTTGGGTGAGAGCGCGGAATTTCCACCTCATACATTGTAATAATCATCATGACGCCAGTTGGTATATGCCAATACAGCGGGTATCCCACACGCTTTTCCCTTAGCCATTTCTATAAAATAGTTTTTCATGTGAGCTGTGTTCAAAACCATTTGTCGTCCCTTTATATTCCCTGGTTAACAAAGATTCCCATAATGGACTGAGACAATCTCCAATATATTGGGTAGTATAACCTCCTATAATTATCTGGTCAAATTATAATATGTCAGGGTCTTTAGGTCGAATTTTGCTATTTCAAACTGAAATATGGTGACGTCGCGAAAATCGCGAAAAAATTGCTGACGTCGTGAGACTAGGATGAAAGCAGGCACTCTGACAGGCGCTTCTTTTTTTGCTCATCGGTGGCATCGCTTGGCTAAAGTCAAGTCAGAGACAAAATTGTCCTGCTGCGGGCTGTTGAACGGAGCCTCTTCACCAGTCTCTTCCTGCGAGGCCGGGAAGTCGCAGAAAACTGCCGGCTAGTCAGGGGAATCGAGGCTACTTAGGGGGGAATCAAGCCCAGGACTTTCTAACGACGTCGTTTTTGGCATTTTCAGCCCTGAACCCAATAGATCAGGTTAGGCAAATTGCTGCCTAAAAGTTAAATCCTTATTTCCTACCTAAATGAAGATAACATTGCTACCTTAAAAATTAACTAATTAGTTTAAAATGTGTTTTTTTTTAAGATAATTTGCTTAACTAATTTTAAGACAATTTTTAAGTAATGTCTTCAAAACCACAAGATAAACTTATAGGATTACTGCCTGCTATGTGGAAAAATGTAGGGTTACTGTTTGTGCAATGTGAATGTCAGTGGCTGAAGTTTGTAGGATTACTGCTTGTGTCATGTGCAAGAAATGTGGAACTGTGTCTGTGCTGTGTGAGACAAACATGTGTGCCCTGTCCTTGCATAGATGCTTGGTGCTCAAAGAAAGGACATGTTTGCACCAAATACCTTGGTACATTTGGAGTACTACAGAAGACTTTTGTGGTGGGATCACATGATTGCAAAACTTGAGCACATGTTCTCACAAGGGCAAAACATCAGCTTGAATCAAACCTTGATTCATGATTTTCCCTAGACAGCATCTGAATCTACTGTGTTGTGATGTGTTTGGAAGGATCACCTTGAACCACTCGCTTTTTGCCCTGCCATGACTTCCAAGAGACTGAGATTGGCAGCAGATCCTTCAGTTGGTGTCCATGACTTGTGCAAAGTCATCAATGAAGTTGTGGATCAAGAAGGGTGCAGAGATATGGCAAAACTCTTGCAGTCAAGGCACAAAGTTTCATGGAAAACTAGTCCTGATGGAGAGTGGTTGGGCAGTGGACCTGTTAGCAACCTGTGCAAAAAACTGTTTGGACTGCACTCCAATGGAGTGTTGGCATCCAAAAAAATGAAACTGGCTATTCTGAAAGTCCAAAATGAAAAAGGTCGAATTAATTGTGGCAGAATGCACGACTCTGACTTTGCAGATTCCATAGATGAGTTGGTAAGAATAGCAGCCAGCCAATTTAGAGAGATCAAAAAAGACTTTGTCAAATACAGCATGGCTGTTCGAAAGTGCTCAGAGGCTGAGAAGGCCAACATTGGTTCTGTCTTAGCACAGATGACTTTGCAAGAAGACATGGAAGCAAAGATTGAGGAGGAGTCCCAGAAAGAGCCACTGGAGGAGCCCAAAGTCTTGAAAGATGCCATGCTTGAGGACAAACCCCCTACAATTTTTTCGAAAGTGCTGAAGAAGGAGGCCAGTGACCCTGCATCTCCCAACTTTCATTTGAAGAGTGGCACCTTGCAGAAGGAGGAGGAGAAACAAGTAAGCCTTTTCTCTAAAAGCATTGGTGCCAGTAGCTCCAAGGCAGCTGTGTTGCCTTCACCCAAAGATGTGGAAGCAGATGAGGTTGCTGAGCTAAAAGCTTGGATGCAAACAGAGGCTGCAGTTGGACCAAAGACAAATAAGAAAGGCAAAAAGAAAGGCAAAGCTATGAAGGTGGTCAAGAAGAGTGTGGACAAACAGAAAATGAAAAAGCCTGCTGCTGCAGTTTCTTCTACAAAGGGCAAGAAGCAAGCTACTTACAAAACTTCTTTCATGCACAGGGTGACCAGTTCAGCATGGAACAAAGCTAAGAAGGCTGCTTTGAGGAGTGGCTTGAGTGAGGAAGAAGCAAAAGCTGCAGGAAGAAAAGCTTCTCAAGAGGTAGCTCAGAAGGTCCATACTGGTGAGCTGAAAGAAGCTTAGACTTGGAGACACCTCAGGGATCTTAGTATATAAGGAGAAAAAAGGAGAGCTGCTGAGCTGCTGCCTGGGTTTTTGTGTGGGAGATTCAATTGTGACACCTGATGCTTCAGCCAATCTGTTTTTCAAGAGTTTCAGCATATATGTTTGCTTTTTTCGGGTGAGGTGTCCCAGGGTTTCTGCATGCATGTGCATAGGATTACTGCATGCATGTGCATAGGATTACTGCATGCATGTGCATGTGCATAGGATTACTGGATGCTTGTGCATAGGATTACTTCTGCTTGGTAGGATGACCTAGGATTACCTAGGATTACTTTTAGGATTACTTCACATGGCTCAAAAGCAAAGCACTAGAGTAGGGCATACTTTCAACACTTTTGGCAAAAGCAATGCCTGCTCGACCTGGACAGCCCTGCCATGGAAGACTCTATGCAAGAAACCTGCCCCTGGAAATGACTGAAAAGGATGTCAGTGAGTGGATCAATGGGCTGTGCCTCCCTAGGCCAAGCAGTGTCTACCTTTTGAAGAAAGGTATAGATGTGAGGAGTGCCTACCTCCACTACACCAAATCAACTCCAGGGCAGCTAGAAAGCTGGGCTGAACACCTTAGTGGGCATTGGCTTAGTCACAAGCCCACTGAGGTAAGTGTGGCATTGGATGGGCCACAAAAACGAACTGCAGCTCCCTGGCTCAAAAAGATGGTTCTGTACCATCACTCTGGCAGTTGCCAGGGCAGAGGTAGGCGAAGGGAGTCTTTGTTTTATCATGGATTCATAAGGGATCCCAATGGTGAATTACAAAGAAAAGAGTGCCAGTGCTGCATACAGCCATGGCCTCCTTGCAGGGCCTGCTTCGTTTCTTAGATGATATCTTTCAACACTAAATGGTTTTGGTGGCTGGGAAGTGTAGAAGGGGCAAACAAAATGCCATAGGCACATGTTTTCTCTAGCTGTGATTAGGATTACTGCTGCCACTGGTGGTCACCACATCATGCCTGATTGCCCAGCATCACTTAAGGCTGAAGTGATGTACACAGAGTGCCTGGGCTGCATTCTTGTCCTTAGAAGTGTGACATGATGTTTTTGTGGAAAATTACTTTTCCTTCCATCTTGATGGGGGTTGCAAACCCATGCTTTGTCTCTAGGATTACTGCTGCAATGGAATCTTGGTAGGGTTACTTCTGCTGCATGTGTAGGTTCCATCCTGCAGACCAGAACCCAATAAGTAAGGTATGGGTCAGCAACAGAAAGGATCAAGGCCCAATGGCGAGGGATGTCACAGCAGCAGTGGCTAGGCTTTAGTATGTGTCTTTCATATTTATCACATTCAGCCACATAAAAGCAATGCAGTAGATGTATGTTCTTTCTTGAGGAAGGATGAGCTGGGATATGCCAGCATGGAGGAATATGCAGAAGCCTACATGGCTGCCTTGCCACTAGATTGCAAATCATCTGAATGCCTTTTTGTGGTGCAATATGGTGGCCCAACACATTGTCTAAGCAGAGGACACCTGGTCAAGCTGACCCAAGGGTGATGTTGCTGTGCTGCATTTGGTGCATTGTGGCAAGTAGAATGCTCTATATGGGAATGTCTCAAAATGGGAGTGCCCCAAGCTCATATGCCTTTTGGGGCACTCAGTTTTGGCATCCCTATTCTGAGACATTCCCATATTTCAAGCCACACAGTAGCTGATTCAGATCAAGGTGTGGCCATAGTTTCTTGTTCCAAACATTTAAAAATGTTGCAGGATTACTGTTGGTTTGATGCTTAGGATTCCTGTTGGTTTGATGCTTAGGATTACTGGTGCATCACTTAGGATTACTGCTGTGGATCTGGGTTTCGTGGTTGCTCTTTTTCATTAGTTCAGGCCTAAGAGCAATCCTGCTCCCAAAGCACCACCTGGCCATGGAAGTGCTGCAGCACCCAGTGCAGTTTCAACTGGTGAAGCTTTGATTCTGGGCTTGAAAAAGAATGTTTTTGTTAGGATTATTTGGGTGCCCTCATGTGGCTGCTGTGTTCATCACATTGTCAATGCCACTCAGGACCCCAGTCCCTGCCTTCAAAGAACCTCCTCCAGAGTTTACATCCAGGCAGCTGGCCTACAACCTTTGTCTAGGATTACTGGTTCACTTTTTACATGTGCTATTCAATCATTTTTTTTGCTCCAGGCCAATCGGAAAGAGTGGCTACCCACTGAAAGCACCACCTGTGCTGAAGCCTATGGTCTTCACAGGGAACCCTGAGTGCCTAGGAAAAACACTGGCATCTGAAAGATAATCAAAACACAGGTGTGCACAATAAGATGTCATCACCAAACTAGTGACCACTAGGATTACTGCTATTGTTTCACACTAGATTTGCTTGCCTATAAAAATGATTCAAGCTCCACATTGTTTCATGTGGTTGCTCTTCAGGAATACTGGCAGTGCATCCTCTGGCACAAGTGCTCCAGTGCCCCCACCACCTCCACTTCCCAAAACGCAGTTTGGCCAGCACATGAGGTTTTGCACTTTGTTGCTGGCAATGAAGGCAATTTTATTTTATGTGCTTTGCTTACCTGCTATTTGCCTCAGGCAAGATGGCAAGGGTGTTGCAAAAGGAATTGAACCTGATGCTCCAAAGCATCTTGGCTTGCATGCTGAGTCTAGGATTATTGCTTGCCCCTGTTCACTACTAGGATTACTGGAGTTCTTGCTGGTCATGGCTCATGGTTTCTCATGTTGTTCAGCATTCCTTTGGCTAAGGTCCAGTGGCAAAGGCTACCCAATGTCTGCTCCAATGACACCAGTGCATTTTGGTCCAATTGTTTTGTCAATTAACTTTGATTGCTTTGTGTTTGGTTGCATGTGTCAGCTTCTCTGTTCCTCTTATTGCACATTTTTGACTAAGGCATGATGGCACAACAGTTGTAAAGCAGCCCCCAGTGGCAGTGATGACTCCAATGTTTTTTTGGCAAGGAATTAATTTCCAGGAGCCATTTTTTAATGGGATACATTGGTTTTGTTTCAGAACAATATGTTTTTCAAAAGGATTACTGATCACTGATCAGTGTGGGGTTTTGTCAGCATAGGATTACTTTTACATTCTTTTTGCTGGATTTCCTCTTGCACTTGCCATGTTTAGCTAAGGAAAGGTCATGACAAGGGCAAGCCTCACCATGGATCAGCGACTTTTGGCAGCACTAGTGTTAGTGTGTAGGATTACTGTGCAGTGATTTTCTTCTGGAAACAATTTCCTGATCATTTGGATTACTGACATTGATCCAGGTGTTTAAGTTTGGTGATTTTCTGCCATTAGGATTACTGACATTGATCCAGGTGTTGAAGTTTGGTGATTTTCTTCCATTAGGATTACTGACATTGATCCAGGTGTTGAAGTTTGGTGATTTTCTTCCATTAGGATTACTGACATTGATCCAGGTGTTGAAGTTTGGTGTGAAAACTTAGGCCTGGTAGCTTGGGCATTGGGGACCCCGACATTTAGACTCTAGACTGCAAATAAAAAAAACAGGATCACTGGCAGGATTTTCAAGTTGATTGGCACTCATTTTCCCAAGGAAATTTATAAATTGTGTTGAGCAATTCTTTTGAAAATCATCACCTTGTCAGGTGCAGCTGCAACGAACCAATGCAGACACCCACCTGTGGTGATCTTCCAAGATATGAACTATATGGTGAAACAAATGCAGTTTTCCATCTGCATGTGCAGGTTCGTTTTGAGCAGTGTTTAGGATTACTTCTTGCATCTAGGTTTACTTCCTGCATCTAGGATTACTGATGCTGTTGGTTTGTTTTGGACAGTGTTTTGGATCACTTCTTGCATCAAGAAATGCTTCCTGCATCTAGGGTTACTGATGCTGTTTTTCTTGTTTGGGTCAAAGTTTTCAACCAGTAATCCTACATGAGAGCAACAGTAATCCTAAAGAAATCATCCAGTAATCCTAAAGAAATCATCCAGTAATCCTACAAAAATCATAGAAACAATTGAAAAAATGAATGGTCATTGCAACTTTGTTTGAAAGTTTGCAGTCAAACTTTCAAGGGGCCTTGAAACTTTGCAGTGAAACTTTCAGGGGTCATTGAAAGTTTCACTGAAACTTTCAATCAAACTTTCAACCCAAAATTGTTTAATATATTACTTTTAAATAGGTGTGATTTTGAGGATTGAAAGTTTTACTATAAACTTTCAAGGAGGTATGAAAACTTGATTGAAAGTTTCAGTGAAACTTTCAATGACCCCTGAAAGTTTCATTGCAAAGTTCCAGGCAAAGTTTCAAGGCCCCTTGAAAGTTTGACTGCAAACTTTCAAACAAAGTTGCAATGCCTATTCATTTTTCAATTGTTTCCATGATTTTTGTAGGATTACTTTGCAATCAAAATTTCAATGGTCTTTGAAACATTGTGTGACATTGTGCCATCAAATTTTCAAATGAAAACAAATGTGTCCTACAAACAGTTTTAAAAATCATGTTTTGGGCTGGTGTGTTTTCAAAATATTGGTCATGTGTTTTAGGATTACTTCTGCATTCCTGGAAGAAGTCACTGTCACACCTTCTGGTTGGCTCAAAGAAAGTGGCCACTCTTCGACCAAATCCAAATAAAACAATCATCTTTGACAGATAGGCAAAAAATGTGGCCCACAGTTCTACAAACATTTGCCTTTGTTTCACAATTTTGTGTTTGAAAAAATATGTTGAAAAATAAACTGCTTCAAACATTTGTGTATGTTTCACTCAATTTTGACCTCGCCCTAGCTGCCCCTTCATGGAAAGTATGGCAAAGAAGAAGCCAGCTGCTAGTTTGCAAGCACCAGGATCAGCAGAGGAAAGTTCCAAACAACTTGCTCTGACTGATGGTCAGCCAACAGATGCTACAAGCAGCACAGAAGCAGCAGAACCTACAGAAAAGCAGGAGACAATAGAACAGATACAGAAAACACACAAACACCTGCACCAAAAAAAGCTTCTGGCAAAGCAAAGGCCAAAGCAGGCCAAACAGCAAAGGCCAAAGCACAGGCCAAATCATTGGCCAAAAAAACAATCAAGAACAAATCCAAACCAAAGGTTTCAGCATCTGGCAAGGCAAAGGCAAAAGCAAAAGCAAAGACACAACAAGGAGCCAAAGATGAAATGAAGAAGAAGAAGAAAAATAAAGGAGGAACACAGGATGAACAAGATGCCCAAGGAGAACTGTATTCATATAAATGTTCAAAGCAAATATGTTTAGGTACATGCAGTATGTCTATCAGTGTGTGATGTTATTGCAAAGAATTTCTGCAGTAGGATTACTTTTTGTGTTCTAGGATTACTTTTCTGTGTGCTCCAGGAAAGCATCTGTAGGATTACTGTTTGTGTTCCACACATTAAAGCCAATGCTGCATTTGCCAACACAGCCTGCTCTTGCAGGACCAAAACCAAAGGCAAAGGCTAAAAGTTTGAAGGAAAGAACTTTGGCTTGGAAGAAGTTGAAGTTAGAAGATGAAGATGAAGGAGGTGCTGAAGAAGGTGAAGAGGAAGAAGTTTTGGAGGAAGACCCAGAAGTTGACACAAAAGAAAAGAGAAATTATGGCAAAGCTCGCAAGTTTGCCAGGGCACCCCAAGCTGGTGAAATTCCTGATGACATCAAGGAGATGTACAACAATGCTTCCAAGTATTCCAACCACCCCAGGTTGTTCAGGACAGAACTTGTGAACAGACTGTTCAAGAAAACCTCGAAAGGGGAATTTGTCCTTTGCCATGGGGAGCCTACATTTGCAAGTTGGAAGCGCAACCAAGATATCAAGTTTACAGCTGCTGATTCTGTGGGTGTCCCCTACATGGTCATATTATGGCAGACCTTCCATGGTCAGGAACATGCACTCCAAGAAGCCTTGAAGACAGGAGATGTATATGAAAGCCATGGTTTGTACCATCACAGGCGAATGACAGCAGGCAGATCAAAGACAAGCACAGAAAGTATGCAGTTGGATGGAGGCAAGGTGGCAATTGACACTGACCAGTTTGCAGGAATGAGCAGCTTCCTTGGTGGCAAAAAATGGTCCCAGTATGGCCAGCAAGCAATGCAGGATTCTCCACCACAGCCCAGGGTGAAGAGAAGCCAGCAACTTACCTTGGAAGATGTGCAACCAACACATCCAAGGAGAACCTCAAGCCAGTTGGCTTTACCAGGGCCTGCAACAACAAACAAAGTGGTGAAGGTTGATTGGGTTACCTTCCAGCAAATTGTTTCTGAAGCCAAAGCAGCAAATGAGCGCTTGCAAAGAGATTGCTCCAGGCTTGTGATGAAAGTTAGAGGAGGAGACCAGAAGCTGACAGATGATATGAAAGCAGTTGTCAACCTGCTCACTGAGAATTTACAATCCCTTCAAGAATGCCAAATGTGGGAAGAAGTTCCAGGGTCTGATGGAAATGAAAAAAACAAGGTGGAAGCCTACTTCAAGCAGATAGCCGAGAAGACAGAGAAGGCCAATGAGTCAATGGAACAAGTGAAGGCAGTGTGCAAAGCTAGAGGGCTGTGAGGGCACCATCCACACTGGGCCTGGTTTGGATAAGCAGTGCTGAAGCCACCACAATTCAACTCAACATTTCTTTTTATTGCAGAATCATTTTATTGTGAGCAGGTGGCATTCTCTGATGTTGCCTTGCTGGCAACTGACAATGTGGCACTGCTTCTAGGCACAGTGTGAAGCCAAGCTGGGTCAGGCAGCAATATGAACCTTTTGCATAAGCAGTGCTGGAAGCCATCACAATTCAACTCAATATTTCTTTTCCTTGCAGAACAATACTATTGTGAACAGGTAGCATTATCTGATGCTGTCTTGTTGGCAACTGGCCATGTGGCACTGCTTGTGGGTACAGTGTTAAGCCAAGCTGGGTTAGGCAGCCATATGAGCCTTTTGCATAAGCAGTGCTGAAGCCATCACAATTCAACTCAACACTTCTTTTTATTGTAGAATAATACTATTGTGAACAGGTGGCATTATCTGATGTTGTCTTGCTGGCAACTGGCCATGTGGCACTGCTTGTGGAGCCAAGCTGGGTCAAACAGCTATGAACCTTGAGGGGTGGCAAAAAAGGGTTTGGCTTGCTGGCACATAGGGTTACTGTGGTAGCAAGTGCTTGTTTTTTGATCAAAACCAATGCCTCTGGGGGCATAGCTGTGTGCTGTGGTTTAGGATTACTTGTGCGCTGTACTAGGATTACTGTTCCAGTGCTTTCAGGCATGATTTTGTGCCATTCCATCCATCAATAGTGCTCATTCTTGCACCAAAAGCTCAAAAGCAAAGGGCACTGATAGTCATTGACATGTAAAAAGTTGACAAAGAGAAAAAGATTTCCTTTTTTTCCCAAGAACCTAGCTGACATGGCAGCACCATTGTGTATAACCCAAAGAAAAAACAGAAAAGCAGCCACACACCACAGATCATTCTGTCACATGAATGTTTTTGCTTCAGCTGCACATACATGGTTTGTTTGGCCAGGCCAACAAAGCTTTGGCAGTGAGCAATGGATGAAGATTCTTTTGAGCCACAGCAAAAAAAGAAAAGGTGGTCTGAGGCAAAGACTGGAAGCTTCCAGAAGAGAAAGTGCTGAGCATGACCAAGCTGCTCAAGCTGCCAGCACCAGAAGCTTTCTTGCTGAATATTTACTGGAGCAATGGGCTTGGGGAAATTTTTCCCCACAGCAGGTGCAATGCATAGCAGCTCTTTTCAAAAAGGATGCAGAAGCACTGGGTGTCAGGCATGTGCAATCCTCTTTGGCTACCTTGGCCAATCTTGGTTCAGAAGGCAGACATGCCAACAATGTGCATAGAGATTTGATGAATGTGGTCAAGGAGAAGACACATATGCCAGAGCCTTTGTATGCCAATATGCCTTTGAAATCCAAATGGCCGCTTCAAGCTGTGATGCTCCCACACTTGGTCTTCCACCACCTCTACACTCATTACCAAGACTTCTGGAACAAGGTATTCTTGCCAGCTGGTGTGGAAGGTCTGGCTGCTTTCTGGCATCATTTTGGAAAGCATCCATGTATGCTTGACTTCCATGGTTCCAGGGACCAATGGCAAAGGTGGACAATACCACTCAACATCCATGGAGACGCTGTGCCCACTATAGGCTGTGGGAAAATATGGACAAAAATGTTACAGGCATACAGCTGGACTGGCCTGTTGCCAAGGGGCTCCACCAAGCAAAGAAGTTTTTTTTTGGGGCAGCACCTTGGTCAACAAGGATTTGGAAGCTTTCTGTGTCTATTTGTGCATACACATGTGGTAGGATTACTGGTGGTGGTGCTGCTGCTTAGGATTACTGCTGAACCTTTGGGGTGGCTAATAGGATCACCAAACCATGTGTGCCCAGGTGTTTGAGCAGCTCCTCAAGCATGGGCCAGCTGGCACATTGGATTGCTTTTTCCAAATCATGCAATGGTCTTTCAGTTCATTGCAGTCTGGCAAATTCCCTGAGCACAGGTGGGATGGCACACCCTTTGAAGCTGGAACCTGGGAAGCCAGAATGTCTGGCAAATACTTGGCCAATGGGTTCTGTGCACATCTGGCTTCAATCCAAGGAGACCTTGACTTCTTTGCAGCTGCACTTTCCTTACCAAGATGGAGCCTGAAGGCAGGTGGATGCCCTTCCTGCCAGTGCACCCTGGAAGGTGCAGCCACTTGGCAGAAGTTCAACAGCAAACAATATATCTTGGACTTGGAATGGGCAGCAACTTCTTGGAAGAACTGGAGCAAAAAAAGCACTTGCAAGTTGTTCTCCATTCCTCATGTGACTGGATGCAATGTGTTCTTGGACTATCTTCATCTGAAATATCTGGGCAGCGACATGTACATGTTTGGTGGCTTGCTTTGGCTGATGACCTTTTGCCTCTTGCCTGGACAACCTTTGTCTAACTTGGAGCACATCTGGGGCAGGATGAAATTCTGGTATGCCAAGCTTGGTGTGCAGCACAGGTATCATTACTTCAACAGACTGACCATGTTTGTTCGAAAAACTGGTGCTCCCAAGCTTAGAGGGAGAGCTGTGGAAGTTCTTGGCTTGAATCATGTGATGGTGAAGATTTGGGAGGAGACTTTGAACCCCCAGGTGGAAATTCATCGAATGATACTGCAGATGCTCAAGATGAACAACAACACATTCACAGAAATGATACAGCTTTGCCTGCAGCTTCAGCAACTGAATTTGTGGGTGCTGCCTTCAAGATGGCCCACCTGAACAATTTGATCCATGAGCATTTCAAGCAGGAGCCTGACATTCCTGACATCTTTGCCATCACCATCAAGCTCCATATGGTGTTGCATGTGGCTTTGCACAGTCATGAAATCTCTCCTCGGTTGACTTGGAACTTCACAGGAGAGGATGAGATGGGCATTCTCAAAGTTCTTGGTCAGAACTGTTGCAAAGGTGTTCAGCCTGAGGATGTCACTTCCAAGATGCTCCTTCACTGGCGGTATGCAATGCACTTGGAGATGGAAAAGGTTTGAAAAAAGAATTGTGCATCTTTGCAGCCCAGTGCTTGGTTCTAGGATTGCTTTTGCAACAGTTGGACACCTTTTTGTAGCCCAATGTGTGCCTTTAGGATTACTTCTTGCAGCAGCTTTTTTGGTCTAGGATTGCTGTTCTCCAGAAGAAACATGTGCAAACTCCAGGGTCAAAAGCTAGAAAGGTTAAGAAAAACAAAGCAAGAAAGCAGCAAAAGGTTTCAAACACACTCAGCAAAATCATCAAAAATAATAGCTAGAACTAGTGAAAAATGGCTTAAAATTAGTTTAAAAAAAGTTAAACAATTAGTTAAGGTAAGGGGATTATTTTTAAGGTAGCACATTTTTATCTAATTTAGGTAGAACAACAATTAACTAAAAGTTAGTTTTTTACTTAGATAAGGATTTAACTTTTAGGCAGCAATTTGTCTAACCTGATCTATTGGGAAAATGCCAAAAACGACGTCGTTAGAACCGAAGGGGGGAATCGAGCCCAGGAATTTCTAACGACGTCGTTTTTGGCATTTTCAGGGTTGAAAATGCCAAAAACGACGTCGTTAGAAATTCCTGGGCTCGATTCCCCCCTGGCTTGCCGGCAGAGACTTCCCGGCCTCGCAGGAAAAGACTGGTAAAAGGCCTTTCAACAGCCCGCTGCTGCAGGACAGTTAGTTTGGGATGGAGTCGAACCATGCAGTCTTAGAATACTACTTGTGGGGACTAACGATGATTGTTGTAATTCTTGATTTGAGGTGTTGTAAATACGCAGCCCTTAATTTCATACGAGTGTGTTGAACAATGCTGCGTGCTGGGATATACTAGTCGGATAGTGGGACCAGTGATGGTTGTTGTAATTCTTAACTTGGGGTAGACATGAAAGACCTTATTTCAGCAGGTTAGGTCTAATTTCACGGTGACGTCGGGTGACGTCGCTATAATTTGGGCAGAATTATGAAGCAACGGGGGTTTTGATCGATGCTCCTTTGGGATCATACAGTTATCCAGGTATACTGGACAATAGATAGCAACTATTGTGAGACACCAACCAGTTGGGAATAACAATATCAGTTGGGCAACCATGTTGATTTGATATTTTCATAAATTATCATTTGCTAAATTATCGTTGGCTAATCATTTCTACATGTGAAACACCAACTATTTTTTTTGGTCTACTCCCCAACTCATTACTGGTGATATCCCAAGTCTTGATGATTTCTTGTTGAGAAATTGTTTTTTTCCCCACCTGCCAGGTGAGGGTCTCTAGATTTTAACCAAGGTGCAACTCCAACCCTCGCTGACTCCTGCCTTCAACAGGTGGGCCACGCCTGGACCTGAACTCCAGTGCGCCTGGACCCAATACCTGAACAGATGCCAGATAGAATGTCAGAAAAGAAGCCAAATAGAATAATGCCAAAAAGAAAGTCAAATAGAATGTCAGGGTATATGCCAGAAAGTTCCTGCAAGAATGTCAGATAGAATGTCAGAATATATATATATATATGATATATATATATACTTTCAGATTGTATGTCAGAAACTATGTCAGAATACTTGACATTAGTGTGTCAGGGTGGGGATCACTCGAAATGAAGTCATTTTCATGGGGTGTATCTGAAAATGGACTGTACCACCAAAAACTATCTTGACACACTCAGTGGGCTTGGAGTTTCGGAGCAGCACCTGCAGAACGTTCTGTACCAGTGCCCAGACGGTAGGACCTCGTCCTGTGGCAGTTGAAGCCATCTGCAACTAAACCTGCGTCTGTTCGACCTTCATCTTGAAGCATGCAGCCCACCTCTCCACGCCCACGAGGATTAAAAGGCACCATCTGTCTCACAGCCACAGCCGCTCTCCGCCATCTGGACTCTGGGAAAACACATGGTTTTTCGCGTATGGCCAGCCAGTGCAATGGAAACGCTGCAAGCACAAGCCGCTTCCAGAACTTCTGGGAAATGGCGGTTAACAATCAAAATTTGCTGGTTACACTTTCAAGTTACCCTCCGCTCATTTATAGATGTTTTTAAATAAACAAAACCTCCATTTGCTGTTTTACTTTATGGTACTGTAAATGTTCCCTAAATAATGTCTACTTTCAGATGGGATTTCCCACTGCCAACCTTGTTTGATACCACATCCTACCAATATCTTCCAAATCCCCTGGGAGGGGATCAGCCTTGATCACATTCGGCACTTGTGGCTTTTCCTCACGCGAAAGTCCGGCTACAAACAATGGATCCGAAAGCAGAACCGGTTGGAACTTGTGGGAAAATATGGGGAATGATGGGGATTATGCTGGAATTGTATGTGGATTCTATGGGGGTTCTATGGGGTCCTAACAAGGAAAGCATTTTGATGAGGTTTCAACGGATGGCTTTAAGGATTCGTGCCACCAAAATTTCCAGGGTTTCCTGAAAAAATCCCTTCAGGGACATCTCCAACTCACTCAACCCGACCCGGTTCAAGTAGTAGAAGACGATGGGGTGCAACAAGGGGTAAACCCAGTGTCATAGGCCTCCAATTGTGGAGTGTTTGCACATGTCTATACCGTCCGTGTCTGGTGATAAAGGGGATGGGTTATTGTTGAACTTACCACACTGGAACCAACCACAGCGTGCAAACATGAAAAGAATCAGTTCCTGATTAAAAAAAACACTAGTTGCTGCCACTGTAGAGAAGCAACCACAAGGGGAAACATTTCTCGAATGACAGTGATTGAGCCATCCATCCCCAAAATGTTTGCCAATGCACATTGTCAAACACTATCATTTTGATGGCAACCGGGATCAGTTCAAATTACCCAAAAACGTTCACAGGTAGTGGACCCATGTTCAGGCTGAAAGTTATATCGTGTAGATCTATTTTTTTTATATTCTATGTGCTATAGTTATATAGTTGTTCAGCCGCCAGATGTAGATCTAGTTATATAGTATAGTTACAAGATGTTACAATATAGAACGTCAAGTTCAAGATCTATGAAGATCTCTGGCTTCTGTTCATTATCTTCTGTATTTCATGAAATGTCGGATTTTCCCAGCCCATGGATCCAGAAACAGTGTTTGATTCTGCATCTCAGTTGATGGGTACTGGCTAATTTTCTTCTAGCCCAACTATGGAATGTCTCCAGTGTTCACCTAGGTAAACTAACATAGATGTGTGGAAAACCCAGGATTTTCCTGGGAGAATCATGTGCAATCACGGTGTTTTTCCACATTGATGTTAGTTTACTCCGGGATATGTCAGTTACAATATGGGTTACGAATGACTAACAAAAGTTAGCGTCCTGAATCTCCAAGTTCTATTCATATTCCAATACTTCCCAGATGAATAGGTGGAATATGTGGTTTGGTCTGAAAGTTGTGTACAACCATATTTGGTGCTTAATTAAATGTGATTTGCCACATTACAAAGACAATTTTCAGGTGTCCCCCATTTTCTGACAGACCCAGTGACCCAAATTTAATATTGTTTGATTACATCTCCCCTTACTATCACCCATGTTTGTTGCCTATAAGTTGAAAATATCTGACTGTTGATTAAACCACTTGGGCTCAAAAATTACCAACGGATCCACAAAATTGAATCATGGCTGCTATGAAACCACCCAAAAAATGCGGAGAGTAATATTTTTTTTAAACACTTACTGGTTTTGCATGTTGGCAATATTATATTTTTGGTTATCTGGAAATGTGGGTGTATAATAATTTGGGGCCATGCGCAATTCATTCTATTTTCCAAAACATCTCTTCGTCCAGAAACAGGACTTGGGAGTGCAGTTCCACTATATAATAAGTGGGTTACACAACCATAGTTGTAGCAAATGTATCGCAGCTTATGAATATTATTACCATACTTGGTGGCTCATCCCACGAATCGTTAGTGGGACATATCCCAGTTTTGCAAATGGATTGACCCTACTTCTAACTGGTGTGATCACCCACTTATACTAAATTAAGATGAGCCACCAAGTAGAACAGTATTTTCCCAAATCTCTATGCATTCAGAAACAATCCCGGTCTCGCCCAGCCTCGCCCAAACTGGATGCCACATTGTGCTGTGTTGCGAGTGTGTCGGGATGTCTAGGCCCCAAAACCTGTCTCTGCACCTCCAAGACTTCTTGTAGCATCGCCAGGGCTTCCTGGCGTCGCCCAACCTCACCCAGGCTGAATGCCACACGGTGCTGTGTTCGGAGTGTGCTGGGGTGCCTGGGCTCCAAAACCTGTCTCCTCGCCTCCAAGACTTCTTGAGACATCGCCAGGTCTTCCTGGTGTCGCCCAACATTGCCCAGGCTGGATGCCACATTGTGCTGTGTTGTGAGTGTGCTGGGATGTCTGGGCCCCAAGACCGACCTCCTCACCTCCAAGACTTCGTGTAGTATCGCCAGGGCTTCCTGGTGTCGCCCAAGCTTGTCCAGGCTGAATGCCACATTGTTCTGTGTTGTGAGTGTGTCGGGATGTCTAGGCCCCAAAACCTGTCTCTGCACCTCCAAGACTTCTTGATACATCGCCAGGGCTTCCTGGTGTCGCCCGAGCTTGTACAGGCTGAATGCCACATGGTTCTGTGTTGCGAGTGTGTCGGGATGTCTAGGCCCCAAAACCTGTCTCTGCACCTCCAAGACTTCTTGTAGCATCGCCAGGGCTTCCTGGCGTCGCCCAACCTCACCCAGCAGGCTGAATGCCACACGGTCCTGTGTTAGGAGTGTGCTGGGATGCCTGGGCCCCAAAACCTGTCTCCTCACCTCCAAGACTTCTTGAAACATCGCCAGGGCTTCCTGGTGTCGCCCAACATTGTCCAGGCTGAATGCCACATCGTGCTGTGTTGTGAGTGTGCTGGGATGTCTGGGCCCCAAGACCGACCTCCTCACCTCCAAGACTTCTTGATACATCGCCAGGGCTTCCTGGAGTCGCCCAACCTCGCCAAAACTGGCAATGACATGTAGTTGGAGGCGGTGGAGAAAATGGGTGGACATGCTGGGACGATACTTTTTCGGATGCTCCAGCCTGAATACCCTCCTTATGTTTAACATGGAACCTGAATAACCTGAAACTCAAATGGTATGTACATGTATGTGCCAAACATGGCAGCCGGTTGTACACTTTGAGTAATGGGGTAATGATCCCAAAATCACAGGGGTTACCAGGCGGAATGATACCGCATTCTTGGAACCACCACTAACACACGAAACAATGACACCAAATACCATCTTGTTCCATGTCTGGCACTCACCACAAGCAACAAAAAAGATATCCCGGCAAGAGACCCCAAATACTCTGGGGGATTGGGAGGATAATGCATGATAATGTGGATGATGATGTGGATGATGTGGATGATGATGATGATGATGATGACGATGATGACGATGATGATGATGATGATGTTGTTGATGATGTTGATGATGTTGTTGTTGTTGTTGTTGATGATGATGATGATGATGGTGTTGTCGAAATGTGGTGTGTACACATGTGTTTACCAGTTTACCATATCTTTAGAAACATCTTTACTTCCCTTTCTGTGGCAATCCCAGTGGATCTGCCAAAAAAACATTGTTTTATTGCAACGAGAGATTAAACATGTTTGTTGCAGACCTTTCAAAAATCGTTACACATTTTGGTTTGTTTTCTGTTTTGCCAGAGTGCCAGTCCTTCTTTTTCCTTCATGTCAACTGGAAAAATATGTCTATATGCTAAAAAGCGTAAATTCATGTGCGTGCACCGAAGTATATAAGACGTGTCTAGTGTAACATCCTGTGCGTGCACCGAAGTACATAAGACGTGTCAAGCATAACATCATGCGCGCACACTGAAGTACATAAGACGTGTCTAGCGTAACATCCTGTGCGTGCACCGAAATACATAAGACGTTGTTCCCCCCTCCACCCCCGACCCCACCCCAAATGACCCAAACGCAAAAACCCAAAAAAGCTGCGCCGGTTTTCGGGCCGTAGGCAAAAACAAGGGGGCAGATGAATCTACAGGATGTTCAAGTAAACATGGAACCTCAAACAAGGTGATCTGAGTAGTAAAACACAGACTGCACTAAACAAAACAACTATTTCTTGCATCAAGTAAAAACATAGGAGTGTATAACTTAGTGTAACCCCTTGCAACAAAACGAGATACCCGCTCCCTCTCTCTCTCTCTCTTTCTCTCTCTCTCTCTCGCTCCCTCCCTTTCTCCGTATCACCCTGTTTCTTTTGGGGGGATGATGGGCAAACTACGGAATTAAAACGAAATTAATTTTGCGTTGAACGAATTGTTTTGTATATTGATACATCGCTTCTCACATCTGGTTCGGATGAATGGCGAAGGGGTTCAACATGTCTAGCAGAGCCACCTCACCACACTGCACCCACACTAGAAACACCAATACCAAACTACCAAACACAAGAAAACAGGGTTCAAAAGGGTTCATCAAGGTACTGATGTGTTTGTAAAGATGACTTGGGAGCAGCTGATCCCTACCTACCTGTGGACACAATGAACATCAACGAACCAAGTGAAACAGGCCGCAGTAGACCATCAGTGAAAAAAATATCACCGGCAGAGTAGCCCAAGAACAGACAAACCACGTCAGCCGACCTCGCCCAAGCTCGATGCCAGCCAGAATTTCACTATGAGCATCCAGGAGTGCTGAGGCCCGACCACGAAGGACAGCGCAAAGACCATCATCTGGTACAATTCGACGTTGGTTGCTGACGCTTCTCCATGTCGGTCATCCTGTCGGAGGGCTATTGCCCGCAGAGAAAGGCAGCATATAATCTTCGTGATGCTCAGACCTATGAAGGCGTATTGCGTCGGGCTTCCGCCACAGGTTAACACAAACAGTGATTGTAACACTGCCTGTGGCAGGTCTTCGCTTAAAGCGATGGCGAGCTTCGTGGGAGAAGTTTGTGTGGCCAGAAAGCCTTCGGTTTTGCTTGGAAAACAAACTTTTCTGACAGCTAATAAGTCTCTGCCCAGTGCGTGCTTGTGCTTGGTGCTTAGGTAGATGTTGGAAAAGACGAGAATGCCTACGGCAATTGAGGCAAATAAGTACCCTTGCCAAGTGCCTGTGCTCAAGGCAATCCCGGCAAAGAAATAATCCTTGCAAGTGTCCAACGGTTCTCCCAACACTGGGAGCACTGAGCTCACCACTGGCCAGCCAAACGCTGGTACACCTGCGTCAGCTGGTAAGTAGACTGCCCAATACAAGGCTTCCAGCACATTACTTGCGGTTTGGGCACCCACAAAGAGAACGTAAAGTTCCCAGCTGCTGCCTGTTACCACACTGAAGCTGTCGGTCATCAAACCTAAGCAGGTCATGCCGGCAAAAAAAGCGTGGAAGGAGAGGTGCTCCACCAATGTGAAGCTGAACTGCACTTCCGGATCCATCGGGGCATAGGATGGCTTGGCGCTCATTCGGCAAGCCCGACAAATTCTGGCCAAAAAGGTCAATGACATGCCGAGCAGCCAGGCGGTGAGGAGTTGGAGGGTTAACAGAGACAGAAAAACGTGTTGACGCTGGGTCAACTGGGTGGGCTCTAGGGTCGCCCCTGCTTGTGATGGAAAGAGGGGAGGCGTTTGGAGAAGCTGTACCTCGCAACTCTGGATTTGCTTCGGTACGAACAGACTCCAATGGAGGTGCGGATTCAGCGCCTGCATGATGCACACGGCTCCAACAATCCCAAGAATTCCGGCAATGGCCAGACCAGCAGCATCCACCATGGCTTGAAAATTTTGGGACTCTCGAAGTGGCACGCGCAGAAACGGAAAAACTACCACCCCTACCCCTATCACCGTGGCGAGAGACACCATGGCGCAGCATGCGAAGGACACGACCCAACCGATGCACTGCGTTGCCAAGGTCATGGGGATCTGGTACCACTCGTCACACTCCAAAAGGTGGAAGATGTTGGGCAAAAATGTTGTCCTCAGAGCTGCTTCACGACAGATGCACCTTCCCCAATACGGCCAAGTCCTACGAAGTCTTCTCATCCCTGTTGGCACGGGGGATTTCCATTGCTTGTGAAGGACATAAAACCACCAAATTTGTTCATTGAGAAACCTCTGCTTTATAAATGCGCAATCCACCAGATTTCATATAGAAAATCATACTGCATGCAGTGAGAAATGTGTTTCATTGAATTTTGAATCGACATGCAGAGGGACAGACCCCCCAGAAACAACTCTGTCATTACAGAGGCTGGGTGGCAAAGGCCAGGTACATGAAATGCCGGTGCAAACAGCCAGCACCAACATACGAGTACTTGATGATTTAGAAGAAGAGCAGTGCCCAACAGTTCACAACATTGATAATAGTAGAAGCCTTGTGTTTGAAAAAGGCTTCATGTCATATCCAGTGATGGGCCAATGTTTGGCGAATATTTGTGCATCACAGACCATGCCCCTTCCTCAACAACATCTCCGACCAAATGCAGGTGCCAATGGCAGACAACACCCATGATGCCGAGCACATCTCTGTCAAATTAAAATGCATGGCTTAGCTTCCAGTGTCCTGCAAAACGATAGGAACCCACACGTGTAAGATCCAAAATCACTATTCCTTCAATTGCACAACTGAAACATTACAGATCATTGCAGGGGCAATGTTTCCATTGCATGGCCGCCATTTCCTATTTGGCGAGCCGCAGAGGATAACGTTGTTGAACACCTAATTAAATCATCCTACATCCATGCCTCCCAAGTCCCAAGTGGGTGTTGTCTTGATTGAGTACAAAGTAATGAACCCACACGAACCCCAACTGCTGAACGTGTTTTTTGATACGGTACCTCATGGATTATGATTTTTGAAGTTCATGACTCCTGACGACACCGGACGTACCCCGTCATTGCACATGATTCCGGATCCTCATCACCCTCATCCTCATCCTCATCCTCCTCGTCCTCATCCTCATCCTCATCATCATCATCATCATCATCCTCATCATCATCATCATCATTTTCATCATCATCCTCATCCTCATCCTCATCCTCATCCTCATCCTCATTCCTCATTCCTCATCCTCATCCTCATCATCATCATCATCATCCATCTCCATCATCCATCTCCATCAATCACCCTCATCCTCATCACTGTAGATCCAAGCGTCTTCTCCCACTTCTTCACCCAATCCCGCGGCATCTGCTCCACCCGGTGCACTTCACTCGGGCAGACAGCGAGGAGGACACATGACGCCGCAGCCAACAAGGCCGCGAGGGCTAGGCACCGGGCCATGGCGATGGAACGGAATTCGCGCGCAACTGGGGCAAAGTATCAATGATCATCCAAATATCATGCATCAATAATATGATATCACCACTATTATTGCATAATAACCAACAAAGAACGGAATATTATATAATATATTACCACTTGATGGTGATATCATATGTATATATATATGATTATATGTATATCATTATCATTCATTATCCAAAGATGGTATCAAACATTGCCATGTTTTGGTGTTGCACCTACCGGTGACCCCGAGGAAACCGCCGCCGCGGCTTAGATTTGATATATCTGGATGTAATGAGAATTATATGAGAATTATCTTAGAATTATCTGGATAAAATGATGAATAATGATGAATATCAATGAATGATTATTATCCTTGGTTATTATCCAGAATATCATCATTATACTATCCATTATTATTCATTATATTATCCATTATCATGAATGAATAGTGATGGGTAATGATGGATGATGGATAACAGCGGATGATAACAAAAGGATAATGGTGGATGAGAATGAATCATAAATGATGGATAGTGGCGGATAATGATGGATATATAATGATGGATAAATAATGATGGATATATAATGATGGATATATATATATAATGATGGACAATGATGGCTGAGGTTGAAATTGAAACATGATAATAAATAATGAAATGTATTTAGTGGATTCAGAACACATTATAGCGATTCTGACAACTGATAATGACGGATGATAATGACATCATAACCGATGGATAATGGTGGATAATGGTGGGTAATGATGGATAATGATGGCTGAGGTTGGACAATGATAATAAACAATGGAAAGAAATGAATGGATTCAGAATCAGCTATAGCGATTGTGACAACTGATTAATAATGACAGATGAACATGAATCATAATCGATGGATAATGGTGGATAATGATGAATACATAATGATGGATAGTGATGGAAAATGATGGCTGAGATTGGAACATGATACTGAATAGTGGCAAGTAATTAATGGATTCAGAACCAATCATAGCGATTGTGACGATTGTGACCACTGATAATGACGGACGATAATGATTCATAACCGATGGATGATGATGGATATACAATGAGGGATAATGATGGATGATGGTGGATAATGATGGATAGTGATGGATAATGATGGATAATGATGGCTGAGATTGGAAAATATACTGAATAGTGGAACGTAATTAATGGATTCAGAACGAAGTAAAGCGACTGTGACAACTGACAATAACGGATGAAAATGAATCATAACCGATGGATAATAGTGGATAATGATGGAAATACAATGATGGAGAATGATGGGTAAAGATGGCTGAAATTGGAAAATTATACTGAATAATGGAACGAAATTAATGGATCCAAAACCAATTGTAGCGCTTGTGACAACTGACAATGACGGATGATAATGAATCATAAAAAATAGATAATGATGGATAATGATGGCTGAGATTGGAAAATGAAATCATGAACGTAACCAATGGATTCAGAACCAATTGTAGCGCTTGTGACAACTGACAATGACGGATTAGAATGGATCATACACGGATGAAGATTGCTGATAATGATATGGGGTAATTGTGGATAATGGATGATAATCGGTCATAAATGGGTCATAACTGGATCGTAAATTGGTAATAACGGATAATCATGGACAATCATGGATGCCATTGGATGCTATTGGATGGGACGCCACATAATGAGATAATCATAGACTATCAATGAATAGTCATGGATGCTTTTGGATGCCATATAATAGATAAAAACGACACCGCTTCCTAATGGTGAGCCAACCTGGGTCTCAAAATAGGCCGGGAGAGATGTCGATGTTGCTTGCGACCACATCTCGGAGCCAAGTAAAATCAATGCAGTTCAGCCATTGTTTCTTTCTGGGTTTGTTACCTAACATGATTATATGAACATGAGTGATAATGGACAATCACGGATTATAAATCGATAATAGGGGATGATCATAGACAGCATGAAGCTGCGGAATTAGGCTGGTCTGCCATTTTGTTGAAAAATTGACGATTGCAGATCACTAACGCATCTATCGATCTAGCATAATCTAGCGGTATAATTTTGCGTAACAGCATTGCCGCTTCGAATGGGCACATGTAAATCTTAAACCATGTTGATTGTGTCTGTATATTTTCAAACGTTAATGCAAGTATCATCGATCCAATTTCTTTGTTGATTAGTGTTGATTAACTATCACATTGGGCCCCCCATCACATAGTACATCCCTCGACACTGGCAACTGCGCAGTTTTATGTCGTTCCCCCACATTACGATTGGCATATCTTGGAATATGATGGCAATGTTGGGGTCCACATGCACCAACAAAATACCAACCAAATATGACATCATTGGATATATCATGATATATCATCGCATTATCATTATGAACTTCATCACCGCATAGTTGTCATATTTACACCTGAATTATTACAATGATCACCCATTATATCCATTATCAAGCATTATTAAGTCGGTGATTCTGCCGTTTTTTTACTTCACTCTGTCGGTTTTTTCGGCCCCAATGATCAGTTCTTGGAGAAACCATGAAGGTATCGCGGCCCAGTTCTTTGGTGTATCGTGGTATCGGCTTTACAGGTTTCGGGGTATCCGTGTACGGTATACCGGTATACCCGTGTCGATTCTGCATGTTTCCACCCTGGAACACCAGGCAATAGTATGATACTAATCTCCCCAGTTCTTAAGCTATCCATGAACAAATATCAACAATGGCAACTTCCCTTGCTGATCAACCAAACATCAACCTTTCCAGCATGGCTTGGAACCCCATGTCACCCCATCTGGAGCTCATTTTCCAAAAGCGGCCTCGCGTCAAGCTATGTTGGGAGCCACATCAAGAGCTTGTGTCCCGTGCGAGGGATCCAAGGGGTTTGAGGCCAGGGGTGGCAACCAAAAGAAGTGCTTGCGGGGTTAAGAATTATGTTTGGAGAAAATATTACCAAAAGGTTTGACATCATATTTTAGGGATCATGTTGACAACAAATAATCGGAGAAGTGAAAAACAAGTGGATGATTTTTTTTCTGGGATGCGTCTGTTGATGATACAGCCAAGAAAGTATTTGGCAGGGCAGCTGGATACCGGCTCAGCATGAGAAGCTTGGAAGCCGTGAGGATTCCAAGGGCAGCCTGCCATGCCATGAGATCATGACGGGCCATGACGGGTGAAAATGGGAGAATTCACCGGCCTGCACACTGTTTGATCAATTCATTAATGGGTTAAATTGAGGTTGAATTTGATGTAAACGCAGCATGCTTCGCTCTAGAATGTATCCTTTACAATATGGCCACTGGTCCTCCTAAAATTGCAATGGTTGCCGCCTGCATACATTACGAAAACAACAGGACGCTGAAATATGACCAAATCAGAGTCAGTCATCCCGCCCATGAAGGTTGCATGGCATGTTGGCCCAATAGCCATCCCATCAAAAACGGAGCACAACTTAGGATACCATTGATCATCAACTTAGGAGGATCAGGCCGCACAAATTGGTTCAGTGACCATGCTTGTTATGTTATTGAAGTCTCAGACTTGTAGGTTTATCCCAGATAGTGGTGGATAAGCATATATGATATATATTGCTATTGACCATCTGCATCATAAAAATGAATGATAACCGCTAGGGTTGTCCCATGTGTCATAATTATGATCCATCATTATCCAATGACCCATATTTCTTCCATCATCATCCATACGTATAGCCAGTAAATCCTAATACAAATTACTTACTTCAAGGGATCCCCACCCTGACATATCAGTCTGCTGTATGTTCTGAAATATATGTAAATATAAATTAACAATCCTCACCTGCCAGGTGGGGAACACAAGGAGATGGACGAATTTGAATATACGATGCTAGGATGGAACAATTATACAATAATATATATATATATACGTATATTGAACATATTTACACCAATAAATTGAAAAAAACCTTAATACCATAAACTTGTGTTGTATATTAGATGATTGATTATTTATGATTAACCCAAAACATATTTTGTTTCAACATGTATATGAATTCTTGCTTAAAACATTTATTCAACATTAGATGTGGTTATGTTATGATGATGGTGGGAAGGTGGAATAAATGAGGTTGAATAATGCCGTTTGAGGTGTGATGTTTTGATGGAATGACATGACATGTTATGATTTTATTGTGTGATATGATGAAACGAGTGAGGAGGATATGATGAACTGGGGGGTCACCCCCTTTTAGCTTTTAACACTCTAGCCATCGTGCCAGGGGGCACAAATCGCCCCACCGTTCACCACTTGGGTAAGCTACGAACTGCTTCTTGGTTCATCCCAGAGTAAGCATCCAATTTAAACTATATAACTATGATCATGGCCAATCTTTGATGATTACCCGATTACCCATCAAACAACATATTCAGCTCGTTTTAGTATATAAACTCATTCATCACAACATATTAAAGTACTACCAACAGTTGGTTTGCCCAGAAATTTTCAGCAGGTTTCATCAACTCTTCGTCAACTAATGCTCCCAAGATCTGGCATTGTTCACCTAGATAAACGCTCGTAGGAAAGTCCACCTAGATGTTAGGAACAAGAGGCAGAAATAAAAACGCGCTTGCATTGGTTATTTACAAGAGCTTACCCAAACTCAAGGCTTTTATGTGGTATCTTCAATATCTTCATCCCCAATACATGGCCCCCATGATATTTTCCAAAAATAGAGATGGTGAGCTGGTTACTTCCAGGATCACCCCGTCACCGCTGACTAACCACCACTACCCTGCGAAATTCGGCCGCGATTTTTTGGGCTATCCCCAATTTTCCAGGTACCAAAGCCATATCCATTCTTCCGTGAATTTGAATCCCTATCTTTTTTTGCTGTTGAATCCCTGGTAGTCAACCATGGCAATTGGAAATTCCCATAGAAGTCTTAATGGGAAAATCATCGAACAAAATGCGGCTATAAATAAACGTTTTATTGAAAAATCATCAAACTAAATTTAGCAGCTATATGTTTTTTCCATTGAAATCTTTCATTAAAGCCCATTAAATCCCATTAAATCCCCATGAAAACCCATTAATTCCCCATTGTGCTTGGTGAAATCACCATGAAACCTGCAGCCTTCGTTGCCTTTGTTGCCTTCGTTGCCTTCGTTGCGCCGCGACGCGCGCTCCGCGTCTCCGCGTCTCAAGTGGTTTCCTGGCGCTGTCGTTCAGCTCAAGGAGCCACAGCAGAAATCGCAGAGGTGAAAAACGTGGATGGTTTGATTGAAACATGTCCGGTGGAAATATAAATACAAATACATATATATATTATATAATGATATATGTGGTGATGTTTAGTCTTGATATCAACCGGTTTGATTATATATATATATATATAGACTGATATATGTGGTGATGTTTAACATAGCCGTGGTATAGATGGCCCATAGAAATAGAGGTTTACCTAAATTAAAAATGGTGATTTTCCATGGCTATGTTAAATAACCAGATGGTAAATATGACGGTGGGCCCCAATATATAATTGAAACCATACTCTTCAAAATAAACCTGTAATCATAACATGGCTAATTTTACATACACCGGGAAAAAAGGATGGGTAGCATGTATTCCAATCAAACTAGCAATAATAAACTATCAAAAAATAACAGTCAAGATCAACGAAGATTCCTCCTGAATTTTGGTCATTAGTACTAAACTTACTAAACCATCCAAAGCAGGTGGTCAATACTCTTGAGACTCTTGAGTCGTAGCGGGAAGAAGTATACTAAGAATAACATCAGCATCGGTTGATAACTTAGGTGCCTGCCCAACATGCTGTCCAGCCCAAATCATGTATATATATATATGTATATATATATGTATATATATATATATATATGTATATATATATATGTATATATGTATATATATATATATATACATGTGACATAATTAACTATATTGCAAGTATGTACTAAATGGGATTATCATCCAATCACCAGAAGAAAACATATGCACAATAGTGTCCTGACAATCTGCAGGCTTCTCTTGCTGGGTCACTTTTGACCCAAGGCCGCTATTCATTCATTGTATTTTCACATGTCAAAGCACATCTGTGTTTCAGAGCGTTTTTTAAACAACCCCACATATCCTCTGTTATTTCAACGTAGACGTAGCTATGTATAGAAACTGGCCAGTTATAGATGATTGACCCAGTAAACATGGTGATTTCCCAAAGTTATATTAAATCACCAGAGGTAAATTGCATGCTTAGTTTTCCAAGATAATGTGTCATCCCAAGACTTGTTGCTTGCTATTATAGCGGAATTTCCAGTTCATAAATTGTAGCAATCCCCATGAAACCAGGCGGCGGCGTTATGATGCGAATACAGTGGGCATCCCACATGTTTTGCTCTGAACCATTGCTATAAAATTAGTTTGTCATTTGAGCAGTGTTCAAAACCTGAAATGTCGCCCCTTTATGCTGCCTGGTTATGAATAATAGGGATTTCCATGATTGATTATGATAGTCCCCTAATGTATTGGGTAGTATAATCCCATTTGATCACCAACCAACAAGGCTTTTGATCAGTGCTCAATTGGGATCATACAGCTATTTAGGTATGATGGACGATGGATAGGAAGTATTGTGAGACACCAACCAGTTGGTAATAGCAATATCAATTTTACAACCCTTAATTGGATATCGCATAAATTATCATTAATTCAAACATTCACTTCAGTTTTGAACAGATCCTATTCTCCAACCAGTAGAAAATTGGAGACATATTAATCATCATTATCATTAGTTAACCATTTCTATATCTGAAACACCAACCACTTTTTTTGGGTCTACGGTCTACCACCCAGCTTTTTAATGTAAAAAACCAAGGCTTGACAATTTGTTGTTAATAAGTTAATTCAATAGCTGCTGGAGAAGTGTTTTTTTTTGCATTGGGACTGAAAATGGACTACACACCCAACAATTACCACATTTTCACAGCGAAATAGTGTTTAACAATCACATTTGGTGGGTTCCCAACATTTTCAAGTTCCCCCCGGCCATCAAACATGGCTTGCTGGAACCTCTCTCATTTCGAGCCGTTTTTTTTCCCACTAAAACTTCAATGCTGGGTGATTTTCCCATGACCAAGCATGGTTTGATTTATCACAGGGTACCAACCCCACATCCTACCAACATCTCCCAAGAAATCCCGCGGATCAGCCTTGATCACAGTCGGCACTTGCGGCTTGTCCTCACGACAATTGGGCTCAGAGCCGGTTGGACCATGTTGGAACATCTGAGATTTTCCAGGGGAATCATGGGGATGAACACATCAGTAACCATGGATAAAAAAAAGTAAAGGGGAAATATGATGAATTATACTGGAATTCTATGTGGATTGTATGGGGGTTCTATGGTCTTCCAATAGGGAAACCAACCTTTTACTGAGGTTTCAACAAATGGCTTTAAGGATTCTTACCGCTATCTTTTCCAGGGTTTCCTGTAAACTTTCACAGCATCCAATTCTGGGATTTGTGGTTGCAACGTGGATATCACTATGATATCACCTTGCAGACTGTGGACATCTCCAACTCGCTCAACCCGACCCGGTCTAAGTAGTGGAACTATAGGTTTCACCAATCAACATGGGGTGTACCTCCGTAAACCTGTAATAAACCTCCAATTTTGGAGGGATGATACTGATTATACCATCCAGTTCTGGTGATAGTGGGGATGATTTTTTTTGAATTTACCACATGGGAATCAACCAGAATGGGTAAACATGAATAGAATCAGTTACTGTATTACTCGCGGATTTATCAATTCATCTGGTTGCTGCCACTGAAGAGAACCAACCACAAGGGGAAATATATCGCGAATGACAGTGACTGAGGCAACCATCCCCAAAATGTTTGCCAATGCACATGGTCAAACACTATCATTTTGATGGCAACCGAGATCAGTTCAAATTACCCAAAAAAGTTCACAGCTAGTAGATCCATGTTCAGCCTGAAAAATATATAGTGCAGATCTAGGTATAAAATATAAGTAATATTTGTTCAGCCAAATGTCTAACTAAACATAATATCGTTCTTATATAGAAAGTCATGTTCAAGATCCAGCTGAAGATCTATGGTTTCTGTTCATTTTCTTCTTGCAAATGTCTGATTGTCCAAGCCCGATGCAGAAACAGTACTTGATTCTGCGTCTCAATAGCTGGGTAAGTGGCTCATCGTCTTCTAACCCTTGGAATGTCTCCAGTGTTAGCCTGGGTAAACTAACATAGATGTGTGGAAAACCAATGGTGTTCCTAGGAAAATGATCTACAATTATGGTGTTTTTTCAACATGTATGTTTCTTAGTTTACCCTAGGATATGTTGATTGTATACTGTATATGGGTTACAACCGATTTACGAAAGTTAGGATCCTCAATCTCCAAGTTCTATTCATATTCAAGTATTTCCCAAATTTATATGTGGAATATGTGGGCTTGTCTGAACATTGTGTACCCCCATATTTGGTGCCTAATTAACTGTGATTTGCCCCTTTTGCCCCATTACAACGACTATTCTTAGGTGTCCCCCATTTTCTGACAGACCCGAATATCATATTGTTTGATTACATCTTATCACAACATCCCCTTACTACCGTAGATTACTTTATCACCCATGTTTGTTGCTTATAAGTTGCAAATCCCGGTTTTTGTTGCCGATTAAACCACTTTTTTGTAAATCTGGATATGGCTCAAAATTCACCAATGGATCCGCAAATTTGAATCATGGCTGCTATTAAACCAGCCAAAAAAATGGCGAGGATCATAATTTTTGAACAATTAATGGTTTTGATTGGTTTTGCATTTTGGTACAGTAATATTTTTGGTTATCTGGACATGCTGGTAATAATTTGGAGCCATGCCCAGTTCATTCTATGTTCCAAACTGTCTCTTCATCCAGACAGAACTTGGGGGTGCAATTCCACTAATAAGTGGGTTACACAACCATAGTTGTAGCGGATGTATCCCAACTTATGGATGTTATTACCATACTTGGTGGCTCATCCCACGAATCGTAAGTGGGAAATATCACAGTTTTCTAGTGGATTAACCCTACTTATCCCACTAAAAAAAACTGGGGTGATCACCCACTTACTAACTGAGATGAGCCACGAAGTAGAAAAGCACCCTCTGGTAAACTAACAGTTTGCTATGGAAAGGAAAATTACCATTTTTGATGGCTAAATCGACGGACTAAATGGCAATTTTCAACAGCAAACCGTAACAAATTACCAGTGGACAACCATCAAACATGGTGGATTTACCAGGATTTACCATCCAAAAATTGATTTTTAACGATAGACATAATGCCTGGTATTTTTCCCAAATTTCTCTGCATCCAGAAACAGCATCATCCTGTTCAGGTTTCTTTTAGTGCGCCTCGCTCAGGAACCATGCAATGATTTGGACCGGAGCCAAACCGCAAGGGATGCATAAAGCGATGAGCACCTCGCTGTGGGGCTCAAATTTATAATGGAATCTTATAATGGCATATTTTCATGATCTCAAAATCTTATAATATCCATCCATCTAAAATTTCAATACAAAATTATCCTAGTGATACAGTAGGGGATATGGGAATGTAGCAGGATACATTGGAAGATTTTCATGGACGTCCCCTGGAGACTCATCCTACCAGGAATTGGGGAGCCGATCCCCGGGGGTTAACCAGCGACCAAGTCGTTGGATCCTCCAAGTGACCCCGAAAAATCACCAAGTTCCACCGATGGCGGTCATTTCCAGGGACATGAGGGTGACACTTTTGTTTTACTGGAAATTGACTGGAAATGGCTCTGGTTTTCACTTTGTTTTGCTGGAAATCCACTGGAAATGGCTTTGATTTTTCACATAAACACTTCACCAGCCACACAGGAATTTGACATGATTTATGTAAACAGCAATGAACATTAGAGCAGTTCATAGGGATGTTTCACGGGATATCACCAACAATAAGCGTCAAAACAGTGTAAATCGTCCATAACCAACTGACAAAGGAACATCCTAATGTTTTTATGGGAAAGTCATCTATGAATGAGGAATTTTATTTAGAGCAGCACCTTCTCGCACATTGAAGGTAATGATTCCTTTTTGGAGTCAAAACCACCAATCATTGGCTTGGTTTAAGATGGTTTAAGGGAAAATCTTAACCGGAAACTATCGTTTTTGCCATCAAATATTGGGCTTTCCGCTTTAAATTTTCCTGGGAATCCCGTGAAACAACGGGTGTAAGACTTGGATATGTCCCCAATTGATGAGCGGCTCACCCCGCCGCTTTGAAGTGTCGAACAAACACACGTACTTTCATCTACCCTCTGGTAAATTAACATAGCTATGGAAAATCACTATCTTCAATGGGTAAATCCACTATATAACAATGGCCATTTTCAATAGCTATGTTAGTTTACCAGAGGGTACCTTGAGGGCGGTAGGAATCCAACAACCAAAATGGTTGATCTTCCCATGGCTGTTGCTCACATCACTGGCAGGTGATCTATCACATGTCAGTAAAACATATCATTGATGGCAACAGAAATAACTCACGAAGGATATGGAGCAAAAAAGCAACTGGTTTTGCAGGAATGTCCATCATGGAGGATAAAGATCCCCATCATGTAGTCCGGGTAGTGTAACCCCTCCAACATATTCCATGCAACAATATCAACCTATGTTTCATGTTTACCAACAAGAAACCCCACCAAAAAAACACACTGGACATAGTATGCTATCAAATTATCAACTCAACTGTATATCCCATTATAGGCCTATTGAACATATACATATATCAATATATACCCCTGTTATATCCCCGTAACCCATGAAAATGTAAGTGTATTTATACATATCCCTATTATATATCCCTATGATATCCCCGCTTAACATGGTAAATCATATTATATCCATATTATATCCATATATTATATCCCTATGCTATCATAATATATATATATATATATTATGATGTTGCTTTCTGCTTTCTTATACATGGCTATATCATATCCCCGTTTAACATGGTAAATCTATCCTCGAACAACACACGTTCTTCATCTCTCCAGGCATCCCAGGCGGAAGTGGCAAGAAAGGTGAGGACGCCCAGAACCAAGTCCTGTCGGAAGGCTCTTTTTCGATGGATGAAGAGAGAATTATAACCCCAGTTATAAGTGGATTAACCCTACTTATCCCATTTATAACTGGGGTTATAACCCACTTACTAATTGGGATGAGCCTGAGCCACCAAGTATATATATATACCCATGACGGATCCATGGTGCTGGTATATATGCTAACATAAAGGGGGTATATTGATGGGATCCATGTTACCATATATAGCAGCACCATGGATCCTATGGGATAGTTGCATCGCAAAAATATAGGAAAGAATGGAACAAATATTATGGCTTCATTTTTCGATGGTGTTGGTGTTGGTGAAGCAGAACGGCTGAGCCCACATAAAAGGGGAGACGTTGACACGCCCGACCTCAAACCTGAACTATCCAGGAATTGGATGGATGAAGTTTGTTTCAAACTGAAACAATGGAGAAATGCAGAAATGCAGAAAGAATAGTTATATCGAACTTAGTGGGAAACTAAGAAATAATACTGCAGTTTCAGCTACCATGATGGTTTCATAATGTAGTATTCCCGTGATAGTGGATCACTATACAGCTACCATGATATTTATGTCTATCATATGATAGTTATATCAATCAACAATAGGATGAAGAAAATGGAGAAATGATTGCTAGCTTAGCTAGTTCGTTATATCTACCGTGCAGTTGGTCGAGAAGAAAGAGGCTTCAAGACAGTTTAACGAATATGTTTTTTTTTCAACTATCATAAACTGGGGAAATCCGCTCTCTGTTTTTGTTGCCATTTTATGGGGACCTACCTTTGGGTCACCGACGTCACCGACCTTTATAAACCAAGTCGTTAACCTTATGCCGCATCAATGATTGTTTTGACCAACCCAGGGGTATCGGAAAGGTGCAGGATGGGGCCCCATAGCTAACTTAGTTGGTGCATAAGTCTGTATAACTATGATAGCAATAGTGTGTGATACTTATAATTATTTTTTGATGGGGTTATAAACCCACTGATAACTGGTGCTGGGAAAAGAGCATTATGTTTGGATATTTTTGGGGCACTCACAAAAATGGAGGAAATCCCCCTCTTGTCAGCCTTCCCACAGCAACACTTTCAGCCGAGATACCGAATGTGCCAAACACCAGGTGTCAAACCTAAGTCTAACTGAGCCATGAAACCCCAAAATGGGACATGTCCGGGATAAAATCATCAACCATAGATTGATATGAAGAAAAAGAAAACAAACCAAATGTGTAATTTCAGCATCACACAAATTGTTTTGAATCATGAAAGACATGGCACATAAATGAGGTTTGATGTCCACTTGCTTGCAGTCCTGCCCTCCTGGGGGACTCAAAAAGCTCTTGGAATGATGTCAAAATCATGCACAAATGAAAAATGTGCTTACAGTACCTTAAAATGTGGTATATAGTCACCCGAATGATTCATTTAAACGGAGGAAATGGTGATAAACAGTGATAAGCCAGGCCAAATACCAACATCTATCAAATTCTTTATTGCTGATGAACCTTGGAAGATTGAGGGCATGCACCACCAGCTACACAAGTTTCCAGCAATACCCTCTGGTAATTTAACAGTTTGCGAACTGGAAGCCATGGCCCGTTGATACATGATGTACCTATTAAAACTGGTGGTTTTCCAGTTCTCTATGAATATCCAAAGGGCATCAGCCGTGTCTCAGCGGGATTGCAATGGATGGCAGAAATATGGCAGAAATCCATGTGCCGAGAGCCGGGTGAGCATCACCATGAAGTTGGTAGAGAATCCCACGACGCGTAACTGGTTAAGAACCCTGGTGAGGTTAAAGTCATTGATTCGGGGGATATCCCATATATATATATATATAATTTGGGTTATAACTAGGGTTACAAACTAGTTTTCTTCCAGGGGATAATCCTCCAAGTATTCCCCATCCAACCCTTTCAAACCACCAAGTTGTATTTCACAAGTGGCTCAACACGTGGCACTGAAAACAGCACTGAAACCCAGACCTTTAAAGGATGGTTCACAAGCCCATCGAACAATGGTCGAACATGGTCGAATATGGGCTGGTCTGAAAATAGTCTCCCCCCAAATCCCATCGTTTAATCATATTTTCCCGCTAAGACTGCTACTTTATGGATGTTCCCATTTTCAGGCATACCCCATATGTCAAATCCCACAAAATATGTCAGAACTAGGTTTGAGTTAGGCATAGCTTCATATCCATCTTGGAGCGCATAGAAGATGCAAAGTTAGACGGCAAAGTCAAACAAGAATCAACACTAATGAACGTATCTTTCAATATTTGGTTTACCAAGAAATCCATTGATTTTCCAGTATGTTCTATTTTTTGCTGGCAAATATATCATCTGTTACTGTTATCTTTTGATTTGGATGAACCAGTCAGTTTACACAAATCGAGTCAGCCAGTGGTTTCTTACGAGGACCTGACCCCGAGATTCCAGTTGTGCTGTTGCTGTTACTCACGCGCAAAAGCCTTGGCCACTCACGGGTGTGAAGCTAGGACAATCCAGTTCAATGGATAGGTTATTAAATCATATATTATGTGTATAAAAATATAATTGTATATATGTATGTATACAGTAAAATTATATAATCATGTCTTTAAATCATATTATGCATGTATATATATATATAATATATATATGCGTTTGAGTAGATGATTGACTGTATGTAAATGATTTATGCATACAACCACCATACTATACATGATCTTTATCTTGGAAGGGGTTAAGGTCGATACGAGGTTGCTACCAGTACACTTCCTGATACCTTGAAAGAATCTGAAATTTGAGCTGGTCATCGTAAAAGATAAAATACCCAGGGGTAAACTAACATAGACGTGGTACTGGTATGGCCTATTTATCGAAGATTTACTGAAAAAATACCTCTAGAAAAGGGTGATTTTCCACATCTATCTCAATTTACCCCAGGGTAGAGACAAACGACCCGAGCCAGCCCATCCAAGGTTGCCCCTGAACTATCATATTGTTGGTCACAATCCCATCCCCTGTTTATATTAAACACACTCCAATAAACCATGGTGAATGTAGATCACATATTTCAGACCAATACAACGGGGATGTTTAATATGAATGGGGGATGAGATTATATTGGCAATAATTAACGGTTATTAGCTGTTCTATCCCCAGTTCTATCTCCACTAGGTTCCCCCCAAAAAATCCCGCTTATATCATCATTAAATCATCATTGGAGTTGGATCATCAATGAAGTTCCCATAGGATCCCAATCATATGATATCACCATGAAAATTGCTTCTCCAGGGCCAGTGTGAAGTATGCATTTTGCTCAGCTCCACACAGATCCAACTCCTGGCATTTTCCGCACCCAATGGTAATCCGACATTATTAGTTGGAAAATCTATGTTTTTTTGCTGTAAATCATGACCACAGGTTTTGATAGGTTTTCCACATCGTTAGTTTACCCATGGGTACTTTCCTTTCTTTTTGGGCACTATGATGTGCTATAAGTCTTGGACTTTTGGCCTTTTAGGGTATGTCTGGACATGGGGAATACCTCGAATTATAGCCGTGTATATAGGGAAAATGAAGATTAACCATTGTGTTTAGGGGTAATGTGGGTAAAACAATAATAAATCACCCATTTGGGAATGGTTTATACCACCTATTTATGGTGATTTTGGGGATGATTTATTATTGTTTTTGTTTCAACCACATTACACTATTTTCAGACACACCCATAACAGTCACCAGTAGGATCGTCATTACGGCATTACGGGCATCTCACCTACCATACTCGGCCTGATGGAACGGGGAAGGCCTCTTGGCCTTGTGAAATTCCCATCTATGGATTGCTTCAAGATACCAAAACAAGGGAACTTTTGACATGGGAAAATGATGGAACATGACGAACAATGCTGGACACTGATGAACAATGATGGAAAGTGATGGAAAATGATGGAGCATGTAGGTTGGCTTGAGAATTGGGCTTAAGATGAATGAACTATACTGTATAAGATACATATTCCAAAACAAATTGCATCTTCGACGGAAAAAAAAAAACAAGGGCAACCATAGCCTCTGAAATCAATGCACATCAATGAGCAATGTAACCTCATATGACCACGACTTGTGCCTCTGCCACCAGTGCTTGTCTCGCGGCATGTGACTCCCTGCACCGGAGCTAACAAACCGGGAGGGGTTGGAAAACCACCATTCTTTTACCAAGAAACATACCATTCCTTTACCAAGAAACATACAAGGCGGAATGTGTGGATCCAAGTTTGTGATTTCATCCCCTACTAACCCATGCTTTCGGGGTGGGCCCCCTAGGTAGCCAAGTTGGTTGATAACTCCAATAACTAGGGTTTGCAGTTTGTGGGGGACATATTATAACTACAGACTATAGCTATTGGGCTTTATAAACTAACTTATAACTGGACAGGTCTACCTTGTAATCATAGCTGATTGTAGGAACAGTCTCGTCTGAGCAGGAAAAACAACACATCAAGACATTCAAGAAACTTTCGGACAGGTGAGAAAAGAAGATGACTCTTGCATATTTGACCAATATATTTGATACACATTCTGATGGCTACTATTGGATAATTGGATAATTGATCCATTGGCCAAGTCATTACCCTCTGGTAAACATACAAAAAACTATTTGAAAATTGCAAGTTACAGTTGATTTACCCATGAAAAATGGTGATTTTCCATCGTTTTTTGTATGTTTACCAGAGGATATCATGACAGCTAGCCGCAGCTGGCTGTGAATTTCTATAGGCTCCACAGGTTCCATCCAAAACCACCAAGGAATCATCATTTTTCCATCACCCTCCAGCAAAACTAACGGTTTTCTTATTGAACTAGACGACGGATGGCCCGAGAGCGTAGAGGAGCAGGGTCTTCTCTTGTTAGTATGGAGACGCAATTTTAGAAACGATGTATGAAAGATGTGTTATAGGCAGTCGAGAAGAGGAGTATCAAGACCAAATAGTGAGAAGCTTTTACACACAGTAGCTTTTACACAGACACTTTTACACAGAAAGCTTTTACCCACAGAAGCTTTTACATACAGAAGCTTTTACACAGACACGTTTACACACAGATACGTTTACACACAGACACTTTTACACACAGACCCTTTTACACACAGGAGTTGCTTTTACACACAAATGCTTGTACACACAGAAGCTTTTACACATAGACGCTTTTACACACAGGCACTTTTACACACAAACACTTTTACACAGAAACTCTTTTACACGCACACACAGACGCTTTTACACGCAGACGCTTTTACACACAGACGCTTTTACACACAGAGGCTTTTACACACAAACACTTTTACACACAAACACTTTTACACACAGACGCTTTTACACACAGACGCTTTTACACACAGACGCTTTGACACACAGATGCTTTTACACGGACACTTTTACACATAGACATGTTTACACACAGACACTTTTACACATAGACATGTTTACACACAGACGTCTTTTTACACACAGACGCTGTCACACACAAACACATGTACACACAGAGGCTTTTACACAAACACTTTGACACAAACACTTTGACACAAACACTTTTACACACAGAAGCTTTTACATACAAACACTTTTACACACAGACGCTTTTACACGCAAACGCTTTGACACACAGACGCTTTTACACACAGACAACCTCTACACACAGACGCTTTTTACACGCAAACGCTTTCACACACAAACACATTTACACACAGAGGCTTTTACACAGAAACACTTGAACACAAACACTTTTACACACAAACACTTTTACACACAGACGCTTTTACACACAGACACTTTGACACACAGACTTTTACACACAGAGGCTTTTACACACAGAGACTTTTACACACAGACGCTTTTACACACAGACGCTTTTACACACAGACACTTTGACACACAGACGCTTTGACACACAGACGCTTTTACACACAGAGACTTTTACACACAGACGCTTTTTACACACAGGCGCTTTTACACACAGACAAGAACGGCACAAGTAAAATCGCAGTTTTACCTCAGTTTTTGCCGATCGACCCTCATTTCGTGCGAAAGGGTTGCTCCGGCACAAGTAAAATCGCACTTTTACCTCAGTTTTTGCCGATCGACCCTCATTTCGTGCGAAAGGGTTGCTCCAGGACAAGTCAAATCGCAGTTTTACCTCAGTTTTTGCCGATCGACCCTCATTTCGTGCGAAAGGGTTGCTCCGGGACAAGTAAAATCGCAATTTTACCTCAGTTTTTGCCGATCGACCCTCATTTCGTGCGAAAGGGTTGCTCCGGGACAAGTAAAATCGCAATTTTACCTCAGTTTTTGCCGATCGACCCTCATTTCGTGCGAAAGGGTTGCTTTAGCACAAGTAAAATCGCAATTTTACCTCAGTTTTTGCCGATCGACCCTCATTTCGTGCGAAAGGGTTGACGTTTCGTGACTCGCCGCCGGCACCACCCTCGGCCTTAAGAGAGAAAGATAAAAAGAAGGCGAGAGAGAGAAAAGAAGGCGAGAGAGAGAAAAAGGAGAGAGATGTGAGAGAAGATGTGAAGATGAGCAGATGTGAAGATGAGCAGATGTGAGAGAAGGTGTGAAGATGAGCAGATGTGAAGATGAGCAGATGTGAGAGAAGATGTGAAGATGAGCAGATGTGAAGATGAGCAGATGTGAGAGAAGATGTGAAGATAAGCAGATGTGAGAGAAGATGTGAGAGAAAATGTGAGAGAATATGTAAGAGAAGATGTGAGAGAAGATGTGAAGATGAGCAGATGTGAGAGAAGATGTGAGAGAGATGTGAGAGAAGATGTGAAGATGAGCAGATGTGAAGATGTGAGAGAAGGTGTGAAGATGAGAGATGTGAAGATGTGAGAGAAGGTGTGAAGATGAGCAGATGTGAAGATGAGCAGATGTGAGAGAAGATGTGAAGATGAGCAGATGTGAAGATGAGAAGATGTGAAAGAAGGTGTGAAGATGAGCAGATGTGAGCAGATGTGAAGATGAGCAGATGTGAAGATGAACAGATGTGAAGATGAGAAGATGTGAAGATGAGAAGATGAGATACAGATGTGAAGATGAGAAGATGTGAAGATGAGAAGATGTGAAGATGAGAAGATAAGATACAGACCCCCACTATTGGAAGAACCCTGCGCTCAGACGCTCTCGGGAAAAACAAAAATTCTGAAAATAGATGAACCATCTAGAATCTAGAAATATACCAGAGGGAAAACATTGGTTTTTTTAAGGTTAATACCTCATTTTCAGACACATTCATAGCCATTACCTCTGCATCTTTGAGCTTGAACGCCACAAACCCAAGTGATTTTTTTCTAAACTTAGGATGTCTCTAGGGATCTCTAAAGAATTTGGGTCTCTGAGTCATGGTTTCCCATATTCTGTGTATATACATACATATATATATGTTTATTATGTCAAATATATATAATATAATATATAATCATATATTGTAGGTATATGATTTGTATGGGTATATATATATATATAAACTACTTAAACCTTTTTTTTTGTGCTCCTAGAATTTTCCCCAGTTAGGTGAATGTGCTCCAATAGCCAACCGATACGCCCCTCACCACATCTCCATAGCCGCGGCACTCGTGAGCCAAGAGTTTCATGGTCTCGTGATATCTGGGGCAGGACATCCAACGCTAAGGTCGCTAACAGTGGTTTAATGGAGATTGAATGCAACAACTGTGACTTTAATAGTGGAAATCCAATACAAAAAAAGTGATTTCATAGTGGTTTAATGGAGATTTAGTGGTATCCAATAGGATTTTGAGAGCTTAGTTGACATAACTTGGTGAATCACCTGCAGTAGGTCACCAGGGGCCTCACCCTTTAGGCATCTCTTCATTTCTGCTGCCAACAATGGAATGGAATTGACATAGCCAAGGCCTTGATCGGACAGATCGGTTTGTGGTGGATATATCACTGGAGTTGAATAGGTAAAACATATACCAACTGTTAACTAACATTAACTAAGCTTGAACACATGCTAAGAGAGTTAAGAGAGTTACGTCGTTTCGCGAGAGATAGTTCATTAGCAGCGTTCTTGTCCGCTATTGTTGGCCACACAACTACCTCACTCATGGTGTCATACGCCAAATTTAACATGGGGTTGTCTAAAAAACGGGATATACTGCTATACTCCCCAAAATGGTGATTTCAAGCGGAAAAATGATTATTAAAACACTGGATTTCAGGGGTGCCGTATTTTCAGATAAAACATGTAGCAACCTGAGGATTCTTGACCCCAAATCCAATCGATTAAAAACCGTTGGTTTCCCGATCAACTTTCAGAACGCGTCATAAGATCATGGCCCGCCAATTTCCAGGTCCAAAGCTACATGAAAATGTGCCTTTGCTTTAGGAGGTGACAAACACATGAAACCTATTCCCAAAATCGTCCCAAATGTTGGATTCACCCAAACATCAACAATCTTCTTGCGCACAATCTAAAAAATATTGTTGGTGATACCTCTACTATGTTAATATGTATATAAATATACATATCCAACCAAAAAGAATAACTAATATATATATAATATATATATATAATATTTACACACACAGTGTTTGTTGGTTACTATTGGATACATACAGCAGTGTCACCCTAAATCCAGCAGTCCTTCTCAACCATCGTGCCTCGCTGTGTCATTCTCCATGGAAGCAAATTTCTGAGTCAGGTCCACCTAGGACAACAAGCATGGAAAGGAAACAACATTTCCCAAAAAACGCAATCCCAAAAAACACAATTTCTGAGTCAGGTCCACCCATATAGTGTCCTAAGAAAGCAACATTTCCCAAATGGCTCAGGCAACAACTCAAAAGTCCATGGCTTCACATGCAAAAGCAAGGGATGTTGATGGATTTTGGTTATTTCTCTCAGACATGAGGATTTGAAGAAGAACATGTGACCTGGAACTCCGCTCTACAATACTCTGTGGTAATTTCAGGTAGCTATATGGAAAATCACCATGTTCAATAGGTAAATCACGTTTTTTTAATCAGATGGGCAATTTTCTATTGCCATGTTTAAAAACCCTCAAACGGGATCAAAATTCCTTGGTGATTTTGGGGTTGGATGCTCATGGGTTTGGAACAGGCCACGGTTTCTGCGAGATCTCTGAACTTGATCTGCGCAGTTCGTCAGTCCATTGCCCATAGGATCCATGTATGGTATATATGCTAACATTGGGGGTATATTGATGGTACAGTAAATGTTACCATATATAGCATACATGGATCCTATGGGTTGTAGTTGTTGATTCAGAACTCGATTCCCAATTCATGGATTATCATCATCCCTGACATATTGGGTAGTAGCGCCTCCAACCAACTGTCCTTTACCGACAGGTTCTTCCCCGTGGATGCTAACTGTCAATATGTTGATGCACACGAGTGGAGGGGTGATGACGATTTGTATGTTCAGGTCATCTGCACATTATCCAAACCACATGTTGATTTCTATCTGATTTTAGCCCCCAGCTGTCCCGTTTCATTATCATTTTCCTATCCCCTTCCTCCCTTATTGTTGGTTTTCTTCCAACTGAACTTTTATATCTCTTAAAGCCTCATCAAACAATTTTTTTCCTGCACTCTCCACTTTTGTTGGTTTATATATGCGTGTATCTCCATATCTGCATCGAATAAGTCTTTCATATATATGCTCTATATTTATTTTTTCAATATCCAATTCGGCTACCCCAAATGGGTAGACGTGAAAATTCAGGTACAAATGGACCCACAAATTTGGTATGAGTGTGACCATTTTCTGTCAGTTTATGATCAGTTCTCTCTCATTTCCAGGTTTTTATTGTTGGTTTATATCCCAATTGATTCCATACAGTTGTGGCCTGAAATACCAAATATAGGTACTGAAAATAAACCCAGTAAAATGGTTTAGGTATAATTTCATAGAAATAACCCAGTTATAATTACTAAATGGCCATAACTGGATTATACACTCCATAAATGTGGTCATTTATAACTGGTAAAGGGCCAGTTTTATTGGTATTTACAACTCACTTAAAACTAATAAACTGGTTGGTGGTTGAGCCACCCCTCTGAAAAATATGAGTTCGTCAGTTGGGGTTATGAGTTCCAATATATGGCAAGTCATAAAAGTCATGTTCCAAACCACCAACCAGGAAAGGCCATCACTACCATTTCGACAATCCAAAGGCGTCCCATCTGCCAAGGCACGAGGCGATTGCTCAACGATGCGACCTCTGCATCTAGGCCTCACGTCGCTGAACGAACCAGGACTTCGCCAAAACGTTGAGTTCAGCAACAGAAATTGGGGAATTTAACATATGTGTTAGGGCCCGGTATGGCCTCTTTATCAGCTAGTTTCTGACGTATACACTTTGGAATTTCAGAACCTATAAGTATATCAGCTGAAACTATATAGAAACTATATTGAAATTTCAGAAACTATATTGTGAAAAATCTTGCCAATGTTGTCTGGATACTCACATGTCACTTGTCACACAGTGTATAAAACAATATTTGAATAATATATTCAGTAAATAAATAACATAATTATTGAAAAAAAAAGGTCTTCCAAGTCTAGCCTTCGGGCCATTGAATTTTGATTCATTCATCTCCTTCTGAATATCACAAGCCAATTCGGAAAATCAATGGGGCGTAAAACAAATTGAAGCCACATATACATCATCACCTGGTGTCATGACACACTATTATTTGGACCACAGACACATAAAGCCAACCTGCTTCTGTCGGTTGAGGTGTGATAAGTGATATTTGACATGTCGTGTCATGTCACCTTGTCATATGCCATATCAGAGCCATATATCATATCATGAATCATATCATGTTGTTCATGTTATATCATATCATAATCATGTGACAAATGAGTCAGTCGTATCAATGTTAAAGATTGGTTAGAGTTTAAAGACTATAGATAACTATGACTATTGTTCTAACTACGACTATAATTATATAGTTATATATAACAGTCTTTGATGTGATTTGTGACCTATGGTCCATATTCTATGATATATGATTCTTTGATACGATGAAATGATATGACGTATGATTCTATTGTTTATTAAATGTTGTTCTTTGGGATTGCCTGATGTTGCAGTTTGTAGGCCTTGCGCGACTGTATGATGTGTGTTCAGTGCTTATGTTGATTCATGTCCATTCATAGGTTCATGTCAATTTCGGGGTTTGTGAAAAATAAACGAGTTTCTGGACACATGAGATGGGGTATCGCATTCGGGCCAAGATGTAAATCACTTCCATCTGGAATGTGCAGATATTTACTCAGCAACATTCTAAATCTTGACCCTGGAAACCTTAACCCTTCAGCCAATATAAATAAATAAATAAATAAATAAATATATATATATGTGTGTGTGTGCGTTGTTTCATGGCATTGGCCCAGCCCACCGCCCCTGATGAGCGGTTTGGTTTCGATGAAACCTAGCAAGTTTCACAAGCCCCCTGATTCTACACAGCCCCAGGGTTTCAGCATAGATCATGGCAGTTTCATTATATTCCTGTGATTCCTGTATGTTGCATGTTTTCTGATTTCTATTGAAACGAGGCTCCCAGAGACGGACTCAGACGGTCTGAGACGGTCTCCAGCTCTCCTTCAGCCTTAAAGCCTAGCTTTATGAGATTTTCTGCGAGCCGCAGACTGGAAAGCATCATATTTTGGTTTCCTGCTTTAATCCTCACTTAATCCTCAGTTTGGAACTTCGCCCAATCCTCATTCCTCATTTTTCCGGAACCTCACCAAATCCTCATTCCTCATTTAGTCCTGATTTTGGAATCTCACCAAATCCTGATTCTTCATTTAATCCTCAGTCTGGAACCTCACCAATCCTCGTTCTCTCACCAAATCTTAGTCCCTCATTGAATCCTCCCTCATTGAATTCTCTTGCCTAGAATCTCACCAAATCCCCATCCCTCATTTAATCTTCATTCTAGAACCTCATGAAATCGTCATTCCTCAATTGATTAATCTTCTTTCTTGAACCTCATGTAACATCCTCATCATGTATGCTTCACTATCCTCATTTCTCATTGAATCTGGATTCTGAAATTTCAAAACGCCATCACGCATTCCGTATGAATTTTGATTGTAAGTATTCACAATATATTCTATATATCATATTTCTCATGATTTTATGATTTACATCATGTTTTTAAATTTTAACATCAAAAAATATGATGACCCATGGTAGCAAAAAAAATGTGTGCTGAAACCGTCGAGACCGTTTCCTACTGTAAAAGTCATTAGGGTCAGAAACCGTCGCGACCGTTTCACACTAAACCATCCAAAAAAGTCGAAAAAACGGATATAGTCTGAGACCGTCTGAGACCGTCTGAGACCGTCTCTGAAAAAGGCCCCGACATGTTATAGTATGAAACCGTCGAGACCGTTTCAGACTATCCCAAATCGTACTATCATGATACAGTCGGAAACCGTCAAAACCGTTTCTACAAACACCATTTTCGTGACATTGATAATACATACATACATACATACATACATACATATATATATATATATATTGTTTTTTCATTGTTTTTCACATTGTTTTCGGGGTGTGCATTGCAGTCACGAATCATGAATCATGAATGTGAATTTGATTTTATGCCTATGTTTAATTATACTATTTGTAACCTTTCACAATCATCACCATCCCATACCATACTATGAAAACAACATGATTATAATATGATCTCTTAATGCAAGTGGCCTATTTTCCCCCTGAAATCTCCATATAGTTTCTATATAGTTTCTATAAAATTCCATATGGTTCACATATAGTCTCAACTGCCAAAAATGCCCACAGACAAAGAGACCACACTTGGTTACAACATATGTGGATTAAATATGGTTAAATATGACAGCAAACAGAATGTGTATATAATATAATATATATATATATAATTATTATATATATATGTATTTGTATTAGGGATTTGAACAACATGGTGATTTTTAAAACAACAGAAATTGGGAATTCAACTTAGCTGGTGCAAGTATCTGATAACTCCGAATGCAAAACGGTACGGGACACTCCTGAAGGGTGAATTTGATCCATGATGCTGGCCATTTGTTTGGGGGGAATAGATCTCCTTAGAAAGTATCATTTTTGCGGTTTGGTTCGCACTTCACTTGTCAGAGTTGCTGCCTATATCCAAACAACGCAAGCAATATTATCCCTGTGTTTTGCAGGCAAAAATCCCATTTGTGGGTTCATTAGGAAAACACATCTTCAGTATATCCGCCTTGTGGTTGGTTCTTCGGCTATGCATTGGTTAAATCCACCTCAATCCATATATATATAATATACATATTATAAATTGCTGCCAACAAAAACTACACGGTGGTCCCCCCCCCTGCCCCCCCCAGTGATGTTGGTTCATAAACACCCCTCAATAACTTCTTCCATATACATGTATCTACCAAAAGCATAGAACTCACCTAGTCATGTCTACAATGTCTACCAGTTATATGGACCAAGTTCACTATCTAAATTCCCATTTTGGCTGCTTCAATCACCATTTCACTGTTGGTTGCTAGCCCTTTATCGTGCGGCCAACAATCACTTCGGCACAGTGAAGCTGCGCTGCACCTTGAGAGCTCTCGAGACTTAAGCCGTCCTGTTGCGCCGGAAAATGAGAAAATCCCCAACAGAATTGAATGGCAGTTTATAGCAGGATGGGGCCCCTGTTCGATAGCGTTCAGTTGAGACATGGCTGTGGCTGAATTCTATGGTTTATGGTAGATATAACTATTAGAATCTATTAGACTATAGTATTCATGGGGTTTACCAACCAACAAACATAGTTGGGGGGGCACTATCCTGTAGCTGGAATAATAATCTATAAATGTTAGTGATTTTCCAGCAAACCATGTTTGATGACACCGGACTTGAATTCAACGAAGACATGTGCTTTTTTAATGTTTTTTTGTTTACGCGGAATGATCTGGATGAAACCAGGGATGCAAGATGATGTAAGCAACACTGACACGGCATCTACACCGTTCTTCCAGGGGGTGAACAGCACATCGGCCAGGGCCGTACCTGGATCTGAGTTGAGTCTAAGCTTTACCAGTCTGCGATGTGACAAGGAAGCTACTTTGCAAAGGCCTAAGAATCACTGGGCCGAAAGATTGGATGGATTTCACCCGGCTTGAATTTGCTGAACAATCACAATGTTCGCCACTTAGCAACCATGTCGTGGTTCAACCCACATTTTTATATGTGTCTTTGTTTTTTGAAAAACACCACTCAGAACTAAATTCCAGAATTGGGCATTTTAAATCCTGCGAACACAATCCCAGTTAAGAATTGCCGAAAAACTTGTTGCGAGAACGGGCTCTGCTGGTTGGTTGACAGGTGTTCCCATAGTAGCCATAGTAGACAATACCCTCCGGTAAACTAACATAACTATGGAAAATCACAATTTTTCATGGGAAATTTACTCTAAATGGTGATTTTTCCATAGTTATGTTAGTTTACCAGAGGGATCCAGAGGGTAACCATCTCCATGAAACTACCCAGAACTCATGCCCTGGGTCTGCGCATCGTCAATGTAACCAATAGACGACGAAGGCAACTGACACACCAATTCCGCGCATACGAAGAACGCTTGGTGCGAGTACGCGCAGTCCATTAGGGAGTCTTAGCACGTCTTAGCCACGAAGGCGACGACCAGAGGTGAGTCTGTGCGCTCATGATTCTTCAGGCGTACTGTAAGTGACCAAAGTTTCTACTGGTTTGTGTTCTTGTTCCATGTTCAGCGTCTTCTACCTCCACGCTCACGCTCACGGTCATGCTCTTCTTTGACTTGGTCATACTTCCTCTGAACCTTCCTTCTCTCGATGTCTGTGGCCGTCAGGGAAGGCACAGAATCGCCTGTGGCGGTTCATTGAAGGCCACACGCTCCCTCCACTCGCTCGTCTCGAGATTATCGCTCCTGAACCTGCAGCTATCAGTGCTTATGTGCATTGCTTCGTTTGAAATTCTGCTGCTCAGGGTGACACGTCACTCACCTCAAGGTCTCACCGTGCTTGCACATAGCCTCGATCAGAACTACCCAGGAACTATCTATTGTAATCAATCAACATGGGTTTTGGTCATTAGTCAAAACTTATCAATTCTGAGCTCCAATTCCGTAGTCTTGGATTTGCTTAAGGTGTTCCAAGAAAATAAGATGCATCCCCCAACATGATTCCCCCAAAATAATAGATGTCCTATTATAGGTCCTATTTGAGGAAATTAACATAAATTAAAAGTAGTATTTAACCAACGCAGGTGATCCATGTTAGAGGTAGAGGTCTATCTCATTCCATCATGATCCCATTCTCCTTTATTACCATATTATTATCCCATGATTATTCCATTGTTTAACCCTTACCAATCCATAATCATGCCAGTATCATCCCATCACTATCCCACTCTCCCATGATTATTTGGTTGGTGGTTGACCAACCTCTATGAAAAAAAACCATGGATTTCGTCAGTTGGGATTATGACATTCCCAACTGAATGGAAAGTCATAAGAAATGCTCCAAACCACCAACCAGTATACCCATAGGATCCATGTATGGTATATTTACCTACATTTGGGTCATTTATGGGGTAAATGTTGGTAAATATTCCATACATGGATCCTATGGGATATAATAAACCCAATAAACATACTTTCTCTGTAGTCTAACCGCAACCACCGCAACCACCGCGAGCTACCTCGATGCTGTAGCCAGTCTGCCTGGGAGGCACTTTCACTCCAAGTGAAAAATGGAGAAGTGCATCCCAGTCATTGAAGGTATAGTCACCTTTACATTTATAATTATGTAATTTATGTCATATTAAAGTGCATGTATGATTAGATTATAATTATTTATATATATATATATACATAGGTATAGGTCGAAGTATATATATATAAGTTTGGGGCTCCAAGATAGCCAGGTCAACCAACTAGCTGTGATTTATGGGAGGCAGGTCATGCTGGGATGGTTTCACAAACCACCGTGAAAGCAGTGATGTTGTGGTAGTCTTAGTCATTTACCTATATTAATATATGTATGTATATGAGCTGTATAAGATTGTATAAGTATATGTATACGTATACGTATTCGCAGATGTAGATGTATAGAGAAATATATACACAATCAAATGTTCTATATAACTGGAATATTCACGAAGTGAACAATATTAATTTACGTCAATATTACTTTGTTTTACCATCAAAGTGGTTTTAAGACATGATACAACCAACCAACATCATACTTGATATTTTAAAACATGGGCTTGTACCACAAATGGTAGTGAGTGCAACTTGTTCTATGTGCGTTCGTCCAATAACATGTGTTTTACTGCAATTTACTCTGAGCTCTTGCAAGTTTCACAAGGGAACTTCAGATTGACAACTACTAGCCTTGGCTTCAATAGGGTCATTCTTGCCAGTATACTCTCTCATCGAACCCACACTTACACAACATGAGTGATTTGCAAATGAATGATGAACTTGACAACCACCATGAAATGAAAGTATGTGTGTGTGTGCGCATGTGACATCTAGCAATATCATTTGAGCAGGGCCCCACCAAAACCTAATTGTGACGTCCGGGCAGGGCTCCCATATTGGAATGCCCACCATCAACCGACTATCATTCAGGACTTGCATAAAGCACTTTCGTGGTTTGTTAACACAGATTTTGTTGCTTGGTACCCCATAAAATAATTAAAATTACATAAATAAATTAATTAATGAATAAATAATACATAAACAAAAACATAATAATAAATAAATATATATATATATATATTCCAGACAGATATGGTCAAATAAAACCATCATCAACGTAGGATTTTGACCGACACGCATCATCACTGATTAGAGTCCAATCCCCAAAATCGCCCATGGCTTCTCTGTGAAAACATCCCACTTAAAGGATCATCCCATGGTAACTGGCAAACACTCACCACTTCGGATTGGGTGGTCCTCCAAGTAAGACCTATAAATCCCATTAGTCACTAACAAGTTCCCCTTTACCCAACAGTTGGGTGAAGTTAGCCCCAAAGTGACGTTGAAAGCTATGGTTCTCCTGTCTCTGCAACTCGGCCTTTGGTGAGTTGGTGAGAATTTCTCTCAGCTCCGAGTAGCCTGTAACATACTCAGTACGGCGTTCGGCAATCGCCTTGGAGTTGTACTTAAAAAAAAGTTGACTGCTTCTCCAATACGAGGCCTCAAAGATGGCCTCGTCAAGGCATGCGTGGTAGACAATCCATAGAGTCTTCCCTTCTGAAATCGCTTGGAAAAGTCCTGGGCCAAACATGGTGCTGTTAATTCGAAACTGGTCATTGGACCGTTCCCCCGAAACACCTCCAACTTCCACCTCCAACTTCCCGCCGAGTTGCAGCATGGACACGCTGTCATAAGCATCATCAGACACGACCTGCGGCGGTGCTTGGGAGACACCAAGCAGTTTCACTGTGTTTCTGGGGCAGTTCTGATCAGGTCCCCACGACACCCACAGTGCACCTCTTTCAACGTCAGACAGATTGGCAACAGTAGGTGCCACATGATAGAAACAACGCGCACGTTTTAAGATGGTTCCTTTTGGAGGATGCAAGCTGTGGTTGAAAGAAATGGACAGGACAGACACCATCCAAGCTTTGAGTACATCAGCTCTCAACGCTTCGATGCTAGGCGATTTGGATACTTTTGCCACTTGCTTCTCTATGTTTGCTATGGTCTAATCGTGTGTATTGTGTCTGGAAGAATAAAAATAATTTATATACTAAACTCAGATTGAATTGACTTTCTCTATCGGATGGTTGAATTTTGTCTATTGTGTCTGGCAATTTGGGATAGAAACTGCTCATTGATGAACATGTAGAACGCCACTCCGGGAAGGTTCGGTTGGCGGGTCGTTTGCGCCCGGCGCTGGGGCCACAGTGGGCTGCGAGGCATGGCAGGTTTGTGGCTTCCAAATCCCTCAAGAATCCTCAAGATATCTTTATGGGAAAATGTGGAAAACTATGGGAGAATGTTGGCATGATTAATTATGGACAATTACGGGATGGTCAGGGAAAAACACATGGGATACTGTTGAGAGAACTGTGGGAACTTATGAGATAATTATGGAATCGGTATAGTTTCTAGCCTCCAAGCCAGTCAACTATGAGTCATTCACTCATCACGGACAAATTTTAAGACCCATTATATAACTAGTTCGATATATCTACAACTAACCATGGTTCAATATACTTAATATGGGGCCCTCAGCTACAAGTTGGTTTATAAATCCTACTAAGTATATAGGCATAGGTCTATCTCCCATAAACCCAAGAGTCAACCAAGTAGACCAGTTCCAAATCCATTTAGCTTTTGAGGGCCTCACCTTATAGATAGGTTTACCAACTTAGCTATAGAAACTGGGACCTTTCTTGTAGCCATAGCCATGTCCCAAACTTGAAGATTGGTTTTCCTACAGATTTCAGCAATGTGTTTAAAACAAAGGTTAGCCATCCGATCTTTTGAGATGAAATACCTTACTCATGGTATATGGCACCAACTTCATGCCTAATATGGCTAACCCACCATACTATCAAATTGGCAATCTATTAGCTATATGAGGTGTCCAATAGGTCGACCTATACTCACATGACTTGACCGTTGTTCCGTAGCTGAGGCCAAAGTGAGCAGCAAACCACAATCTGGCTGTGTCAACGCGGGAACAAAAAACACTTTGCAATTAGAATGAAGAAAATGATGAAGTGGATTACTGCAAATGAAGACCTCATCCATTATTCTAAAAATGATGGCAATTAGAAAATGATCAGCGGTTAACAAAAAACTATGATCCATCCGTCTATTGCACTATCCCAAAAAAGCTACGATAGACATTCAAGTGAAGTAATTAACCCATTGCTCCAGGGTTTTTGCGCGTGCGAGCTGGTGAACAGTTGATGCACGCGAATCCACCGTACTCGAGCTATGTACATTCGAGTGATCCAGTTGGGGTGAAACTCTCTGGTGCTAGGTACATTGAATCATAGGCCATTAAACCAGAATGTTACTAGGAACACATTAATGTTGTTTCATGCTATGTTGGCAGGATTTCTACCACTTCTTGGCCGGTGAAAAATGATTAAATCATATCTGCATTGTATATTGGCTGGGGAACGTGTAAACTTCAGTTGCTTAAAGAACATCTGATTTTGCTCGTTCTACAACATGCTGCATCAGTTGATTCACATCATCATGTTTAGTTGGTTGAGATCCAGATCATTTGGCATTGCCAATCTTGGGTATCCGGATACCCTGCAAACATCTATCACAAAATGTTACAGTAGTGAAGTGCCCATCCTCTTGCTTTTGCCAGCAAATATACCACTACAGTAGTATCCATGGTTTACTCGTTATATGGGAATACCCATGAGATTGCTGGTTCTTGTTGATATCCCCATTGGCTACATCCCCAAATATTCATTGGCTCCCAGTTTTGGCTGCTTAATCTCCATAACTCTCAACAAACTGTGGGTTCATATCCCATAATGGTAAGAATCTCCACCAGTTTTCATTGCTTATAGTTTGCAGTTATCTGGTTGGTGGTATACCTACCCCTCTGAAAAATATGAAAGTCAATGGGAAGGATTATCCCATATATTATGGAAAATAAAAAGGTTCCAAACCACCAATCAGTTATGTTTTTTTATTATTTTCCCCAATCCATTGTATTCTATTCCTTATAAAAAAAAGAAACCTCCGGGAATTGAACAATTTCCTATGGTATACATGACCGATGATGCACTGAACTTCAAGATGGCGATTTTCCAGTTTGCTACGTACCAAAGGACCAGAGGATATTCACTATATCATAGCCAGTGTTTGATGGTTAATCAGTGCACTTTTCATAAATCCCAACGAAATCCCACTGTAATCTTCATATATTTTCACTAAACAGATCCCATGAAATCAACACTACCCTCTGGTAATTTGTTACATAGCTATTGAACATGGTGATTTATAGTGGATTTATCCATTAAACATGGTGGATCTTTCCATAGTTATGTTAAATTACCAAAGGGTAGATGTTGGTGTGTATATATATATGTATGCCCCATTTCCATCTGACCCATCTAGCAACCGTGTCGCTGCCCGTTCAGGCCAGTCAGGCTCAGATGTCGCCAATGGGAGGCCAATCGGTCATCCGCAAGGGGACCTGGGTGCATTCTGCAAGAGAGGCACACATGAAAAACTGGTTGGAGGTTTTAACCATCTTGAAAATATGAAAGTCAATGGGAAGGATCATCCCATATATGAAATGGAAAATAAAATTCATGTTTGAAACCGCCAACCAGAAAATAAATTCGTGATTTGTAGCATTGTCATTATTTCAACTCTGTCTTTGGTTGTTACTATCACTATGATAAATAGACAAAATATTAGAAATGGTAAGAATAACAAGAGTAACAATGAAAAACATAGTAGTGGAAATAACATACACAATAATGAAACCTACTTTTACTACTAATAAAAATAACAATGATGAAAAACATGATGATAATAATAACAATAGTAAAAATAACAATGGTATTTTACCAACCTTGAAAGTTCGGCCATTTGGGGATACTAGGTATCATTTCGAGTCACATCGCTGTGAGGACGTTATTATCTTTCCAGAATGATTCCAGTAGTAAATGCTCAGCGCTTTATACTCCTCAAGCAACACCTCGCAGCATGTGAGTTGACAAGATTGGTATGTCGTCGAATGTCAATAGCTGAACAATGCCAAGTGCATCAGGCAAAAGCGGAACACTGTTCTCTATTCGACTTTGAACAAAGTATTTTTTGGTGGGATATACCATCCCTCCAATCAACATGTAACATAGACCCTTCCAAATAGGGGTTGGAACAAACTTTCGGAGCTCTTTTCAATGGCCATTTCAGGAACCTAAATTGGAGGTACCTACCATATATAAGGCCTATATAAGGCCTGTGTAAGGGAATATCCAAGCAAAATATGGCCTTATATGGTACAGTACCTCCATTTTAGGATCCTGGAATGTCCATTGATCTTTTGATGTGAAAGCAACAGCACTACTGCTTCGATTCATGGCTATATGATTTATCCCTACAAACATTCCCACTGATTGTTGGCCAGAGGCCCATATGTTGTTGCTCCTTAAATCCCGATCATATCCCCATATGTTGGACAAACATATCCTAAATATGGAGGTTTCCTGAAATGGTGGTTCCCCAAAATGGATGGTTTAATCTGGAAAATTGTATTAAAATGGATGATTTGGGGGTACCCCCATTTTAGGAAACCACCATATGTATACGGAAAGGCTATTGGGGAACTGATGATAACCCATGAAAACTTGGGGCAAGTACCGTAGTTCATTCCCTAGAAATGGAACTATCCCAACACATATACAACACAAAAAAAGGGAGAACTGGGGATCCATGGAATTGGGAAACTATCCGGATTTGTTTAAGAACATATGAGGTATTATAAGGTATACATATTTGACTATGTGTATAAAAAATATATAATAATATATGTATATAAGTTTACATATACATATTTTAACAAAGGTTTAACTCATCCAGTCTGATTATGGATGATGATCATAATTGATATCTCATGGAAGTTGGTGCAGCACGAATAGTTGGAAATTTGGTATTGTAAACCGGCAAGATCGGACTGTTTCTCAGCATTTGTCCCTGAGCCCGTAGAAGGCCCCAACAAGTTCAGATGTAGTTATACACAGTATACAACTACCCTCTGGTAATCTAAGATAGCTATTGAAATTCACTATGTCTAATAGGTAAATAATCTATCATAAATGGGCCATTTACAATAGCTGTGGTAGGGCAGTGTTTAATTATCTCATGGTAGCAGCAAAATTGTCTTACTCCAAATAAAAACTGCAGCAAAATGGCACTAATCTTCATGGAATCTATGATTCGTGGCATATTCCTGTGCAGAAAAACCTTGGTCCCTCAGTGGATCTCTGTTGGAGAAACAAATTATTTTCCCACCAAATGAACAGATTCACCCAGAAAATTGCCTAAGTTTAGTGAAGGTTGCCACGACAAGCCAGCGTTTCCGAATAACGCATTTCAACAGTGCTCAAAACCCTCTGTCAGTCTACAGTATTAAAAACTGCTTGGCTAATAGGATTTCAATGGATTTCCCACCATGCATGATGATCATCCCCATTTTTTTCTGTCAACTGTAGTGGCTTATATCCCCATATTGTTGATGGTAAAGTCCTTGATTATAAATATTAGTTAAATCCCCATTAAAATAACCAACCAAAAGGGGTACCAGCATGAAATATCGCCATTAACACTGCTCATCGGAGGACTCAGAGGACTTGCTGTTTGTGATCTTAGCCGATCTTCGCGAAAATTTCTGACTCAACTCAGACAAGACCTTAAAACAATTTGAGCTATATAACTAGATCATATCTTAATAATCATGGTTACGTCCTATATATATATATTTGTGTTATATATTATACATATCAATATATATATATATGTGGATCAACATAGATGATCATATTATCAATTTAAGTTGGTTAATAATGATTATTGTATCAATCATATCTTAATAAAACCATCAATATAGACCATCATCAACCCAAAGTCTACATATTATATCTATATATCATCAATATATATATATACACAAATTAATATACATATATAATAGTTTTAGCAGCCATCGTTCATATCTGACCGCCGTTTCTGGGACGGTCCAGGGCAAAACAAAAAAACGGAACTGAAACCATAATCCGAAAGTCTTTCGCACATTAAATCAGCGCATCGCGCAGTTCACTGTCACCAAGAGCCTTTTGATGAGAACGGCTATTGGTATGACGTTTGACGGAGTCATAGCCACCTCCGTTGCGAAAGCCGAAGCCAAACATGTGCTTCCGCATGCCTCCGCCCATGGCCGCCTTGATGTGGCAGCCGAGGCCCCAAGCCCCTCGCTTTCATCACCAGGATCGGGTCACAAACGATCAACAAGCCAACAGTTATGGCCGTTTACCAATTATAAGCGGTTATAAGTGTTTTTTTTATGGGATTCTACATGTCATAAGTGGGGTTATAAGTATCTGGTTGGTGGTTTTAACCATCTTGAAAAATATTAGTCAATGGGAAAAAATAATTACCCCATATATTATGGAAAGTAAATAATGTTCCAAACCACCAACCGGCATAACTATTTACAACTCATAAATGGCCATAACTGACGGTTCCTGTGACCCCATGGGAGCCCCTGCCACCGCTTCCGCTTTCGCACGGAGCTCCGGATCCTTGTATGACCTGGCGGGGGCAAGAAGGGGCCACCATGGGCCACCCTGGATGATATGAAGGATTGAATGGTGAGTTAACCAACAAAAAATGGCGAGTTAATTTGAGTTAATGGACTTTAATGAGAGTTTATGGTGATTTAGTGGGATTTCACCAGCAAAAAATGATGATTGAAGGGTGATTTCACGGAATTTTCATGGGATTTAACGGGTCTGATAGGCTAATTATGATAGCTAAATTTTATTATAACGTAAAGTGAACTGCTGGGTTAACCAATGGCATAATAACGAACTAGTATTCATGGGGTAAAACTAAAGCAACGAACATGTCACTGGGGAGCCCCATCTGGCATTGTTCCTAAAGTTACATTGAAGTTATCATATATATATATATGTTTGTTGATAAACGGTGTATTTTTTTTCTGGCTTTATGTTTTGGTGTTAGAATTTCACCCCAGCAGTTTTTGCACTTGAAAGGACTTGAACCATATTGGTCAAGTGAGGGTCTAGGCATACCTTACACTTAAACATGTCACTGAAATATTGCATATACCACCCGGAAACCAACTACAGCTGTATGGGAAATCCAGATTTTGGATGGGAACATCATCTATAGATTGATAAACGGAAGGGGATCCTTTATTGCCAGGTTTGATCTCCAACAGATAGGTGCTTTCAAAAGAAAAATTTTCTTGATATGACCATTTTGAGAAAGACGTTACAATGGCGTTGACCATCTGGATGTCAGTGGGCAGATATCTGTTACTAAGAAAGGAATCCACCTCCAGTGTCATCCAACGTGGCTGGAAAATCCAGGAGAAAAAAATCCATTGGTTCAAGGGAAAAGTGAAACTAGAACCCCCTCATATTTCCTCGGAAATAAAACATGTGTTCCTGTAGATTTTCCCTTAAACAAATCTAATGACAGAATGACTCAGAATGGCTTTCATGATTTTGGCATATTTATTTAGTTCCGGGATTTCCCAGCGGGCCGCATGGAGGTGCACAAGTCCCTGGATATATGACATCTCCCAAACAAAGCCATGGTGGATTCAATGTCAACCCCGGACTAAGATCTAGCCCGATTTATGAATTAGGGCGGTACACCCCTAATTTGATACTACTATTTTACCCATTTGTAATTATATAGATATAGTTTTCATGGATTTTCCCATTGATCATACCATTCACGGGCCCTGCTGCCCTGACTCAAAGAAGGCTCGATGCGAGGCGAGCGAATAGGGGAAGACCGTCTGCCCATCGCGCGTCTGGCGCGGGCGAAGTCACGTGGCTGCACTAGAGTCGAGTTGGATACCATTGGTATACGCAAGGTAGGCCCCCTGGCATGATAGCTATAGGTTGGTTCAAAATGGTGATTTTACAATCATTGACTTAACATATGGCTACTGTAGTCTGGTAGTTGTAGACCCAGTTGCATTGGGACGTTGGTAGAACTGGGAATGACTGGGTGGGTATCACAAACATGGACACATGATAATATGTATACATATATATATAATATATATAATATAAATATATATATATATTATATATAATATATATAATATATATAATATATATGTAATATAATATATATATATGTATCCTACATATGATACACACATTTAAACATAGCTAAACCGTAAAAACACAATTAAGTTCATCAGCAAAAAAACTTGAACTGACAGAAACTATGATTTGTGCGGTTTCAATCATACTCTTACCACTATACTTGTGGGAGTTGTAAGCCCGGTTGCATTGGGATGTGCATCGAACAAAAAAAACTGGGAATGCAGTCCTGGCTGGGGCTCCAAAAACATATCATATACTGTAGATTGAACCGATAAAACCAGGACATCAACAGCAAGACTGGAGGTTAAAACAAGAAACATCAGGGGGTTAAATCATCCAAAATTAAGATTTCACAAGCAAGAATGAAGGTTGAACCGACCTTCAAAATCAAGGCTAATCGAGATGTATTCGTCAAGTTGGCCTTTATTATAAGATGGCTGTCACGCTGAGGGGTGAATGGTGGATATATGACTTCAGTTGGGTGGAAATACTGTAGATCAAACAATAAGCGGGGGCTGCACTTTTGAGACCAGGAATCTTTGGGGAACATCTAAACATCATTAGGAAATACTTGATCTTCTGTCTTTGAATCTTGTTTCATCCAGAGTTATCTCACAGTTTCAGCCATGTCAAATAGTTTCAGCGGAAACTTTCTATTGCATCTTCTGGTCAAGGACCTTATCATTGGGTTCCGTGGGCTCCTGGGTTTCCTATCCCCATCATTGTTTCGTTTACTCCTCATTGCTGGCCTGTTCTCACTCGCCATTGGCTAGCTGACCCTGGATACTGTCCTGAACAAAGGTCAATGATCCTTGGAATATCATACATCCTCCATTCATGTCCAACAAATGAAGATATACTAGGGGCTGATGACATGTGGAGTGAGAAAACATACCCCCCCTATAGACCGAAATGCATGTCATCTGTTTCAACCTAGGGGTGGTGTGGCACAAAAAAAAAGTCACCTTTTCCTATGTCATCTGTCCTTCAGTCACGTTCGGGCCATCTTCTGGCCACATGACATGCAACTAAAAGCATTTTTGCAAGTGCGTGTGCCTGTCCTGAAGGAAGTTTGGGCCATATAGTGGCCACATGACATGTTACTAGAACCATGTGTTGTAACTAATTGCACCTGTCCTAAAAGGCAGCTGGGGCCATAGTGGCCACATGACATATTACTAGAACGATATGTTGCAACTGTTTGCACCTGTCCTGAAGGTAGTTTTGCCATACAGTGGCTACATGACATGTTACTACTTACTAGAACCATCTGTTGTAACTGTTTGCACCTGTCCTTAAATCCGTTTTGCCTTATAGTGGCCATATCACATGCTTCTAGGGCCGTTTGTTGCAACTGTTTGCACCTGTCCTTAAGGCAGCTTAGGGCATATAGTGACCACATGACATGTTACAAGAACATTTTTGTTGGAAACTGCCTGCGCCTGTCTTGAAGGCGGTTGTGCCATAGGCTGGCCACATGACATGTCCCCAGTGCCAAGTTTTAAACTGTTTGCCCCTGTCCTTCAGGCAGACTCGGCCACTCGCTGTGCCAGAGCCATTTGTGGTTCAAACACAAAGGTTCGAAATGGAACCCGCACAAAAGAGGAGACGTTTGCCTGCCAGCTTTCTAGAGGTGGGAGGGCGATGTGGGGTTTGTCGGTTTGTGAGCACGTGTTTTCTTTCAAAGCTATCTACCTATCCGACCATATGTGTATATTGAACTTCGACGGGGTCATAGCATGTATTTGTGTTTGTTTGTTTGTATGTATGTATGTATGTATGTATATATATGTATGTGTGATAGCATGCTTTACGCATCCTGGATCCAGGTCCCATGTCATGAGGGCACAGTGGATGGCATGACTGTTTTTGTTTGCATTTCAGCTTGGCATTTCTTTGGCCGAGGTTGCGCGCGGTCATGCTGACCCTAGGGGCACAGAAGAGGCTGCTTGAAGCTCAGCGAGGTTGAGTAGGCATGTTCTTTGACATGAAAGGGTACTTCTCTGAAAAACTGCAGTTTTGCTGCAACTTTGCTTCCGCTGCAGTCTTGCATTTTTGTTGGCAGATGCACCTCCAAGTGGCAGCTTTTGTTCATTGCATGGCTTTTCAGTCCAGAACACGGGTGTAACACGCATTGCCATTCCAAGACAAAAGTCACCATGCCATATTTTTTCAGTTCAACCGTTAACAAGCCGTCCGAGGCTGCAATGACGAATGATTTTCTGCAGCAGAAGCAGGCTGTTCGCCACGATTTTCTTTCCGGCACCTGGTAAGTTAGGTAGGCGTTCCTTGACTGCTGCCACACTTTCCTACCGCCTTCCTGCTTGGGATGCAACTTAGGTAAATTTAATAGATGTGTGATCGAAACACATTTGTTTTGCTGAGTTTTCACCGGTTGTTAGCAACACCTGGCCTTCAACGACTCTTAATTTGCACCCTACCTATCCCTGAAGCAAGGCAGGCTCTGTTAAACCTGCCTGCCAGGTTTCCGATGGGGATTGCCGGACACCTGATCCAAATGCTGGGGCACTCAGCCAGGGCTGAACAAACATTCCCCATGTCACGTGCCACAGCAGGATGAATGACTAATTTCTCACTGCTTCATGTGACATGTTTGTTGAAAATGTTGGCTTTGAAACATCCGGTTTGGTTACCCACCAGTTACAAGCGGTATGGCTTGCAGTGCGATCTGGTGCAGGTGAATTCGCCGCGGAACGGCCCAAATCTTGGGGAGGAATCATGGTTTCGAAGCACAGCTTGGAGCTGAAACATTTCACTGGTCGTGACTGAAAATTGTCGTGGGGCAGGACTTGGTAAGATCCGACATAGAGGCTCACCAGCTGATACTGCTGAAATTGGACCTGGTTGTCATGTCATCCAGCCTTCCTGTGAGGCGGCGGCACCTCCAATCTTGGGTGTGGCAGAAGTAGCGGAAAATGTTGGGTTGCCCAGAGCAGTCTTGGTGTGGTCTAGAAAAAAACCTTTTTGCCAACATGCAATATGTCCCCAAGGGGCCAAGTCCCATGACATGTGCCTCCTGCCTGTACAATTGGAAACAGTAGTTTGCAAATAGCAGCGTGTGCCATTGCCATTTTTTTGGATCAATGTTGATGTGTTTTGTCTTGTCGCTCAGGACAGAGCAGAATCAGAATCGGCAACTCAGGATTGGAAATCGGGAAGCCATGTCTTTCTTGAGCAGCATGGCAAGCCCTTATATATACATACACACAAAAGGCAACTCCAACATTGGCATGTGTTTATGTATGAAAAAAAGTCATAGACTGATTTTGCGATTTATAGTCATTGATTCCTGAATTTGTTTCTTCACGATCCACCTTTTTTGGCCAAGTCCCATGTCATGTGGTATGCTGCTGGATTCTTGGATAGGCTCCTTCTTTCAAAGCGATGGAACCACATGCCCGGTTGCCCAGCGCGTGCCCAGCGCATTACTTGCACACGCCGACCATGGTCCTTGTCTTAAAAGCATGTTGGGAGCGCAATGGCAAGTAAAGTTTGCTGATGACATAAAGACATGTTTTTTTCCACAGTGGGCAGCGCTTGCTTTGGACTCGCTTGTTGCAGCCGTGTGTGGCACATTGAGGATGAACACGTGCCAGCATCCGTGGAGGCCGTGACCAGCCCCAGTCTCATGTGCCACTCTCTCAACACGCAGTATAAAAGATATATATCTATATATTGATTTGTTTGTCTATTGATTTATGTATTGACTTATTTAGATCCGCGTTTGTTTGGTGAGATGCGAGCTGAAAAAAATTCTTCTGTACCATCAGTGATGGCATGTTCAACGATTGGCAGGTGAGAAAAGGACCGGAGACAGCCGATCGACGCAACAAGCGTTGCTGGCTGCAGCTTGAGGCACGGTTCGTCCTATGATATCTGGTGTCCGTACAGCGAATGGCACTAGAATTTGATCATGGCCCTATATATGTTGTGGCAATGGTGCATGACAGGTTGAGTCCTACAACATCCCAGGAGGCCGACTTGCAGGCTTCAAGGCCTCCATGTCACATGGTTGTGGCCGAACGCATTGTTTTATGTCACGCGCAGACCCTGAAATTAGATACCCTTTTCAGCAGTTGATCTGTTGAACTTCGGCTGTTTGTGCAACCCTGGGCACCCCGGGCCGTTTCTTCAGACCATTGTTTGTTGAAGAGTCATCACACCCTCCAAATCAGTGCTTGCGCCCCCTGCTTCGTGTGCTTACTAGTGGTTCAGGCTCCAGCCAGAGAAGAAGCAAGAGAAGAACCTGCACAGGTGCCTCCCTGATTTTGTGATTTGATATATATATATATATGTTATATATATATATATATTTATTTATTTATTATTTCTTTATTTATTTATCTATCTATCTGCCTTCAAATATGACGCGTGATAATCTGCATATATATAAATAAATATATATATATATACATAAATACATATGCGCGAATCGCACGATGGACAACATGCAGCGAGTCATTTTTCTCAAAGTGTTTGGCTAATCTCTTGGACAGGTGGATGAAGCTTTGCATGAGCCGGTGTGGTTCCCCAAGCACGGCAAAAGGACACGAGAAAACATGTGGGACCCGTGTAGATCATGCGGTGCCGTGTTGTTTGCCTAAGTTTTTTCTCTTCGTAAAACATTCAACAGGTAGGAGCGCGCTCTTGCTCTTGTTCCTGAAGACCTTGGTAT